TGGCAAAGAATAAACAGCATTCAGGTCTCTGCATTATAACTTCATATTCATTCACTACTCCCCCCCCCCCAAAAAAAAAAAATCTCTTTCTCTATCTCTCTCTCTCTCCCCCTCTCTCTCTCTCTTTCTCTCTTTTCTCTCACACACTCTCTCTCTCTCTCTCTGTCACTCCTTCTCTCCCTCCCAGAGTCCTTCCTTCCTTCTCTCTCCCTCCCTCCCTCCCTCTTTCTGTCTGTCTGTCTCTCTCTCTGTGGACACTCTCCCTTCCTCACTCCATGCCTACACCCTCTGCCCAACTACTTTGATAACAGAAGAAGGAACATATTCAACTTCTCATTCTCCAACAGAACATTCAGATGAAAACAAACTGGCATGAATGGATCTCTTGTCAGATACTGTGATGATTAATGACTGGTTATGATTCAGCTAAGACTCCCTGACCCACACGCTTTGCCCCTTCATCTCAACCAGCCCGAGCCCTGATTGCAAGTAACAATCCGCACCAACTCCCTGACCCCTTAACATCTTTTCTTCATCAGCAAGAAACCTTGGCACAGCTGCCTAGTCCTCCACTCATGACAACGTTCCCCTTTCCTCAAGAAACAATAAATGCCAAGATGACACACCTCTTCCTCACAGATGATAATTTCACAGAAAAACCCCTCCCAAATTTCTCACGACTAGTCAATTATGAAATGATAATTCAATAATGTTACGTATCATAGTCAAAGTGTCCGTATGTGATTGAAGAAAACAGGAGGGTTACTTGTAGAAGGGTAAAGTTCTTTACCCAAGAAAAAAAGAGAGGTTAGTGGGGTCAAGGAGTTATTACACCTTGGTGAGGTACAATAATTGCGGTACAATGAATAATTGATCTGTCACCTGATTAAATATAGAAAACATTTCATCCTTTTAGCCCCTCCTTCATCACTTAATTATAATTAAAAAGTGAGGGGACTGGGATTTAAGAAAATTATAAATAGGCTTACCTATTATGAATGGAGTCTGGAGTCGGCTAATCATTAAACCATAACTGCAGCAATACTGTATATCTGTTGATTAAACAAATGATAGGATATTTAAGTTTTTTTTCCTCCAAGTTCTAAGAGTTTAGAATGTACAATCTGCTTCTTCAAAATATTGTTTTTAGTATCTTTTCTTATTGAAGCGAAATACTTCTTTGATAACCGTATTCCTAATTCAATTTTGTATTTTACCCTTCAATAATTTATAATTTCATACATGTATTCAACAAAACACACCTAATTATGTCTAGTGATATTTTTGCTTTGATTTGGTATATTAAAGTAACTTGCAATAATAATAATAATACTATTTAATTTTTATATAGCGCTTAACACAAATGTCTCTAAGTGCTTTACAAATTATTTTGTTCAATGTACGAATAGGTATACAGTAGGCCAATACCATTAACTAGCATTATTATGTAGCATTTAATAAAGACATGATAAATACATGGCAAATAATGGTAACATATTAATAAATGAATACTAAGCCTAAGATATCTTATATTGGCATCTATGGAAAATACAGTATATGTATTTTCTTTTTCACCAAAAAAGGAGAGCACAAAGGATACACTACGCATCATCCGGTGTAATTTCATTTTGTTTGTAAAAATTCTTTAGTCTAATAACGCAAAAACAAATATATGACAAATAGCCGTAACAAATAGATATTTGCTAAATATATCTTGACAAACATTTTATGTCTAAAAGACATTGCTCATCATCATTTTGCTTCATGCTCTGATAAATGCAATAAACTTAACTCACTTCTCTTCTACAAAGCAGGGCATTAAAATGAAAGTATGCTACATTGTATGCTGTCTGCAGAAGCCCTGTTTGTTTTCACCTAGTTAATGATTGAGCACCTCATAAATCTTAAAAATGCATGATTAATCTATCTCTCTTTTTTTCTAATGCATGTAATTTGTTCCACCCCCACTGATTTCCCCCCATATATCCTAGTATCTCTTCAGACTTTAAATTACAACTTGTAGCAGAGATAAGATAATGAAAGACCCAAATAATTCTCTCACAATTACCCTTGGACGATGCGATGAAACAACCACTTCCTCTTCTAGCTGGCTCAAGTAATCAAAGTAATATATATTGCCATTCTTTCTGTCTTTGTTGCATCTTGGTATTGATGAATCAAAACAAGAATTGGGTCAGGATGGTTTTCACCATGCGCTGTATATGGCTCGCTTACACCATGCAATCCATCACATCCTATACAAACTAAGCAAGGTAGTCTGTTTTTCAGACATCGATTTTCTCCTTCTTTCTTGTCCAATCATGAAGATGAGGCCATGATAGCAATATTGATATTGATCATAACGACAAAAACAAAAACATCTCATAATGATAACATATATCCCTATGTGCTTAAAAAAGGGCCTACCTATATGATTTATTATCTTTCATTAGAAGTTGGTCCATATCTATGATGTGCTACAATGTACACATTGTAAAATCCTTACAAATTACTTGCAACTCTCTTCCAGCTTCAAATACTCTATCCAAAATATAATACCCTCATTTCTTCTGGCCTTGAGCAGTAGACGGTTCAATTTCGATTGGCAATTGCTGAGACTACAGACTTCAAGGAGGAAGCGCTACTGTTGCATGAAATTCAACAAAGGATAGAGAATACATGAATAGCAAGAGAAAAAATTCTAAAGCCATTCATGCGCAATAAACTGCAAGGAAATGCATGGTGAGAAACGAATGTTGGTTTGAGGAGCTAATTATACATTTTTTGATATACATTAATAGTCTTCATGAAGTTCATGGGCAGTACTCTAAAATTGTTTTTTTTTAGGGGGAAGGGGTTTTAGGGGGAGAGGGAGTTTGTGGTATTTAATGTTATATTGTTTCCATTCTTTTATTATATGTCATATTATTCAAATCATATGATATTGATTTGTATTATCTAAAATATAATTTTGTTTTCTATGAATTTGTTGAATAATAAAATTCCAGGACAAAAAAGGGGGAAGGAAAAAAAACAGACTTTATTAGTTGCACATTTATATCGTAATTTGATGTTCTTTTATCTTTTCATAACTTAAAATGAAAGGTGGACTGGTTGAGTTATAGCCGTTGTTGGGTGTAAGCATATGTCACCTTTTCGAGAAACAGATATCGGACAAATCAATTTTCACATGTTTAAAGAATAACAAAAATGTGGTAAGGGTATGAATAATTCAGTTGCTGTATACATGTAACTGATTTTGTTTGATATTTTGATATGAATGTGATCTAAATGAAAGTCTTCAGTTTATGTATCAATGCTATTGAAAGAAAAAAACTACTATACACTGTACATGTTTACAACGTACAACACAATGTATAATGAAAGATCAAAGGATGGTGGGTTGAATATGGCAGAAAAACCTAAAAATTACTTTACTTAAATAAAAAATGAATCATCCATTAATTACTTTAGTGGAGGATTGGCAATGCATTTTATATTTTAGATAGGTATCATTGACTAACTTTAAAGAAACTGCTCTAGAGTTCATTTCAAATCAAAATATTTGACATACACTGTAGAACACTTTGCACTAAAAAGGTGCATCCACAGGTTTAAGACTTACTGAAATTTATCTTTTTAATCCTTTGATGATTTACCAACAAACTTCATTTACTAGCTCTCACCATCTCTCCTTTATCCTTAGCGCTTACAAAAGGGGGATGTTGTGGGGAGCTGTGATATCTCTCATTCAAATTATCTATTTGGAATCTGAAACTTCTTTTCTCAAACAATAAATTCTTTATGCAAACAATATCTTAAAACTTCCTTTTCTTTATTCCAACCTAAATTCAAAAGAAAACAATGTTTATAAGCTGGTGGTCTTTATGTACAGATTCAATAACTTCAATAGCACCTGTTTCAATGAGAAACAAATTTCAATGGAAACTGTGGTCTCTCTACATTCTATACATGATGTAATGTCCAAGTGGTCACTAGACTAGAACAGGTTTCAATTTATCATAGCATTATTGTTAACCATCAAAACCAAGCAGCCATCATTACCACTATCACCAACAGCACCATCATTCATCCTCATCAACACCACCTCAGCCTTCATCCCCCCCCCCCCCCCCCCCCCATCTTCCAATTCCACCATCCATCACCACCATGACCATGCACCACCTGGCAACAGTACTCCGTATCACCACCACCTTTAACAACAAAGTCAGATCCAGTTTGGAATTGGAAGACAAAAATGACGCTGAGGCAGCCGCATATTAACAGTTCCAGCTTTAGTTTTATTGCCCAAAGGCCTGTCACTTTGTCAGGTATCGGAGCGCCAGAGCTCAGAGCGGGACCGTCCGGAGCCCAGCACGGGTCAAGCAAGGCGCGCATGTGGAGGCAGAAGACAATAATAGAATTAGAAAGGTGTCTGCTGCATTTTCGGCCTCGGCAGTTATGAGCTTTCTACAACTTACCTGATTTTCTTACTAGAAATCTGACATCTCGGCATTCCAACTCCCTAGTCATAACACACTGTGATCCATCGTGATGAAAAAATTAGAGGTCTACTGACAGGTCTTCATTAAAAAATAAAGAGAAAATAAAAATCAAGTCCCTCCTCCAACTCCACAGAGATCTACGATACGTTTATTTAGCACTAAAATTATACCGGCAATATTTTTAAGGATTTTATGATCGATTTAAAGATAGATGCAGTACAGGATTTTTGTATAATGATAATCTAAACGATGATATTTTCAAGGCTCGCCCGTCATAAAAGCCTCTAAACACCTAATATTAAGACTATGTCAAAATCTGATAAGTCGATTTGATCACTGGTTACGCAATTTAGAGCAAGATTTATATAATTATACTTTTTATTTAATATTTAAATCTTTAATAAAAATATATTTTATATTTGAATGATATTTTTAAATGATTTTGAGTTAGGTTAATATTTTATTTAGATATAATTTCTTTCAACCATATATTTGGTGGCAAATTGGCATCTTTGAAACTGACGAAATGGCGATGCTGTCCGCTAATTTACTGAGGAAAATTCCTCGATTTCATCTAAGAGGAGTTTCTTTTACACCTGAAAAGGTATGTATTTAAGTAATATATTATTTATCCCTATAACACAGTACTCTCATATAGTTTTTATGTAATTTTCATGCGGAAAATCGCCATGAAATTGAGAGGGGATGGGTACTCTGCCTGTCTGTGCAGGAGCCTACTGTGTTAGTGTGACTGTGAGTCTGTAATGCATGTGATGTAGGCCTAGAGGTCTAGAGAGTAGAGTATGTATTTGTAGATCTAGAACTATGTAAATGCATGTAGTTAACTCCATGGTAAATGTAATGCATAGCTTAATGCCCAGGTTATGACAATGGCAATGTGTTAATGCTAGTGTACAGTGCAGTAATGCCTAGAATCTAGATCTAGACTAGATCTAGACTTGGCTTAATGCCTTGGTCAGTAGGTGCGGTGGTCCGAGAATGAGGATTGTCATCATAAACGAGGATATCCTTGTAAACGCGGTAAAGATGCATCCTAAAAAGTGAGGATCGTCTGCATTTTCCTGTTTTTTTTCATCAGCACTCTGCAGGTTTTGGGTTTCTGAACTGCCTGCTGGCGATGCGAAAAATGGATTCCGTGTAAGAAAATAATCCTAGTTCACTGTCTTCTCTTACAGCCTTTTCACACACAGCTAAAATTCTATAAACATGATTAGTTTAAAGGGCTTTAAACTAATCATGTGTACATATGACATCATTCACACACAGACATTTCGGTGCGATCGTTAATCGTTTCCTGATTAACTACTGCTCTTAAAATGCGCAGTAGTGCCATTGCGAATTGAAGGTCAGGTCATATCAAACAAAGCACATGCTCCATCTAGTTTAAACACGTTTAAACCGTTCACGCACAAAATGTCAAGCTCTCTAGATACAAACTTTGTATCTGCAGCCTGCTTTGAGGGGCGTATGAATCGCGACACAGGGAAAATTTTCTTTATACGTGTTTAAAACTGTTGAGTTAAACATGTTTATACTAATCATCTCTAGATACGATGAATTTTAGCTGTGTGTGAAAAGGCTGTTAATCTTATGGGTTGTCCCTCTTCCCGAGGATTTATCGCATATTATGTGAAGGTCTCTGATATGTCTAGAGTTTTAGTCAATGTAAAATGCATCAAGAAAATCATCGCGGAATCCATTTCTTGCATCGCCAACGCACCGATTAAAAATATGAAATGTCTACGAAAATGTGGACGATCCTTATTTTTGTGGACGCATTGGTCTGCGTTTACGAAGACGATCCTCGATTATGCAGACGATCCTTATTCTCGGACCAGCGCCCCTACTGTTGATAGTAGCAGAACTAGCTAACAGTAAAGTGACTCTCACACTCTGCCGTGTAGGCCTACCGTGTGCCACCGTGCGCGAAAATGTCTGCGGACGGTAGAGAACGGCGAGGGCACACGGTGGTTCGTTATCAAAGCGGGCAACACGTTATTAACGGGCGTTGGCGCTTATTTACACCCGATGGGACCCGGCAAAAGTTTTGGGCATGTTAAAAACTTTGGCCAGCTGGCACCGGCCGCAAGAGGACGGTGTTGAACGGTATTTTTTAATAGCCCGGCAGGTGGACGGTAGGCCTACACGGCAGAGTGCGAGAGCTCCATAACATGTAAATCTACAGTTGTAACTAAGTCTAGATTAATATTGTAAGTTGGGGCTTTGATCGGATCGGAAGATCGGAGTGACAGCCTCGCACCTGTGATCGGTATCAGCAAAAATAATCTGCGAAAACAATCGGCAGAATTTTTGTTGTTTTTGTTAATGCCGAAAATTTTCAAGTTTTTAGCTATCAAATGCTTTAAACAAATTCATAGCTGGGATTATTTTGTCATTTGGAGTTGTTGTAGACCATGTTTGTTGATATTTAGTGCCTTTTCATGACTTTGAAATTAATAATATTAGTTTAAGAGGAGAGGCAAAACATGCAGGCCGCCATCTTGGATTATAATGTAGGCATTATAGAGGCCGAGGTCTATTCAGCTATAATAACAACATATTCAACATAAGAGCAGCCTTCTTGACAATGTATAATACCAATAGTGTGGGAATTTAGAGAATCAGACAGAGAAGTACCACTTGTAAAAATGCAATAAATTGCATAATAATTTTTTTTCTTTCTTTTCAGTAAATTACTCTCCAATGTTACATCACCAGTAAATAAATGGGGTCATCCTATCGAGGCATGCAACTTTGTGTTTAAGTTTTTAAAAGTTCAAAATTTAATCTTAATTTTGTTATATTCAATTTGATTTTATTCTATAAAAAGTATGTTTATATTTTCAATAATGATAAACACAGCTAGAATCTTAAAGTGCGGGTTCATTGAAAATCTCAAATATGGCAAATAGCGTATTACTAGAAACTGTTAAGCTAACAGATGGCCATCATGCAAGTTTTAGGTCAACTACATATCGGGTGATTTATAAAAATACAAATAAAACAACCTCCATAGCATCTGGGATATGCGAGAGATTCACCGGAAAAATAACGATGTTTTAATGCCGTCACAATATGAACCAACCCTGCGCAAGCAGACGACATCCCATAAAGAATGAACATAATTGCAATGCTTTTATTTCTCAAATTATATTGAGTTTAGTGTATATAAATGTGATGGAATTTTACACCATTCAAAAAGGGATATGACCCCCATTCTTATAACTAAATTCTTTTTTTTGTAAATAAACAGGATAGGGGTTAATGAACAATCAAAGAAACCACACTTTCAAATTAAAAAACCTCAGGAATGATAGCATGGACGTCATTTGTTCCCTCTTGAAACGCCGAACATGCCGCGGTGTATGCAGCTGAAAATACAATGGGGTCTTATTTTGTTTACAAGCGACAGATTCCCTTCTTTTTTTTTATCCTTGCATTTTTCATCAAAATAATACCATGCACGGGGTTTAGAGTGAGGCAATAGATTAAAAATTTCACCTGAGGGTGTTGAAGTAAGAGAAATAACTGAAGAAAAGATGACAAAACAGGCACTGATATTGTGTGACATGTCATGGGACATCGTCTGCTTATGCACATCATGTTCAACATGTGACGTCATATCTCAGCAGCGACTGGGGAGCCTTTTCAGGTGCTATGTCGGGGCTACATCTAAGCGTTTTGTAAATGTTAATAATCATTACTTCAAATGTTTCCAAGCATTGGCTTTTGATAACCTTGGCCAATCAAAGTGTCACCTTTGCAATAATGACATTAAAGTTAGTTTTTTAAATCAATGAACCCTCTCTTTAAGTATTTTCAAACGTATATTTATAGATTTGATTAGAAAGTGGGAAAGAGGAATTGAGTTCAAAAGATTGATTTGTCTTACATGACTGTACATGGCTTACAAGTATCTCCATTAGTAAAGACTGCTGTTTTATTGTTTGTACAAAAAGCAGATTTTCACCTGTTGATAAACCAAAACTTGACCCCTCTATACAGTTTGAGAGTATCAGTAGTTGATTCAGCACATACTTTACTCACTATGTATCACTCATGTCATATGCTTTTGCCGTCTAATGTCATTAGTTGCCAATGTATTGCACAATGGGTAATTATTGAATTGTTCTGAATAAATTACTGATGCAGTGATTGCTTACAAACTTTGTGAACTTCATTAGTCAGAAAGTGAATTAAAAAATCTTTTTGCCAAATTTAAGAGGTGCCAGATGAGAAAGGAAACAAACAGTATGTTGTCCCCAATATTTGTGTATGATGTACATGTAGGAAGTGTGTATCAAATTTCATCTCTAGATTTCATGGTTTTCAAGTTGGAGTAAAAAAAAAAAATCAAAGGTCGAGTAGTTGTCAACACTACACTTACAGTATGTTGTGCAGACAGGGAAAATAATTACAAATTTAGATTGCTTATCTCAATTAACTTTGCAAATTGGTATGTAAAATAAACAAACTTGTCCTTATAGTTAAATACAGAAATAAGATTTTTTTTTTTAATGTGTCAATTTTGGGTCATTATGGCCTGGAAATTGTAAAAAAATATATTAAAAAAATAATCACCTTTAAAAGGCTCAATTACTCCATATGCCACACTCGAGTCAGTTTGAAAAGGGGGAGATTTTATTTTATTGATTAAAAAATTAATGATACTTTAATCAATTTGACAAAGAATGACCCAGGGAACAAAGTCATGAAATTTTGGGCACCATTAAATTTTGTCGTACTGTAGAATGATACATCACTATCATAATATTTGACACCCTCACTGCTCGCTACATAAAATACAATCATTTAAAACTTAATTAGTGGCTAAAAAGCCTAAAATCAAGGTGCTGGAAGTACATGTACGCACAAATATGAATGTTAATTCAGGATGTAAGAAAGAGACATACTGAATGGAGTTTTAAGAAAGTAAAGTCTGGTTTTTGTTTCTTACCTTATATTTGTTACAATTTTGCAGTTGTAGCAGAGTGATGTAGTAGAAATAAATTTACGTCTAGTTCACCCAATACTACCATCAATGTTGGTGTCCTCCTGGTGGTGCTGAAGAAAAGCAGAGCATTGTGCTGCAACAGTAGAACTGAGCAGACCCTTGGAAGACAATGGTTCAGTGATTCACAAAATAGAGAAATGGCCAGTTGGGCAATTTGTTGTTGTTGGTCACTTTTCTTCAAGATTATGTCTGAAGAAGTCTGATGTAAATGATGGACGAAAATAAGTTGTAGATGCTTCATTCATTTATTGACAAATATTTTTTGAGAATATCAAATCAAACAAGTTGCCTCTGGCAAGCTTAAATAAAGTGTAGATTTTAATATACCAATAGTTTCCCAGCCTCCCAGGTACCACAAGTACGTAGTCAAGTGCAATGTGTTCAATTGTGATGCAGTGCTGTGAATCCAATGCAAAGGTGGCTGCCACATACATTGTACTTGAGCTGGATTATGGATCACATGTTGCTGAATGAAGATGATATTGCTCAAAGTTCTGGGATATTAGTGTTATGCGAAAATGGTTGGTATAGTAAAATTCAAGTTGAGTGAAAGATTTGTAAAACAATGATGCTCTGAATGAGAAGCCAGTAGATACAAGAAACTGAGACCTGGAGAAAATCTTCCACAGAGAGCATGGTCTGGAAACAAGTTGATTGGATATTGAGGAAAACAACCTACATGTACATACAATGGTAAATAACAATGTCTATGCCAGAGAAGGAATGTTGTCCACAAATCATAATATATTCATAAGATGCGGAGAATACTTGAAGGTTAAAAATTATACTACCAAATTAACCAGCTATAGTGAAAAATATGCAATATTTCTTAAAGTCAATGTTAAAGTTAATTGAATTGAATTACCAGCTGTAAAGATAGTCAAAGTTTATTTTGACTTGTGAAATTTGCAGGAGCCTGTAACACCAGTAACAACAATATAATTCTAATTAAAATCTCAAGGCATCTTATGGTATCAATACCATCAGCTAAAAGATACTGTATGTATACTGTACATGTACATTGCATTCTATGCATGTGAATAAGGTTTTGGGAGGTTTCACAATGTATTCTTGTCGAAAGCATGTTGCACGTTTACAAAAAAAGATAAATAAGCCAATATTGATGAAAGATAATGTAGATCGTTTCACATTAAAGATAAACTCCAGTTCTGGTAAAAAAAAGAAAATTAATTCTTACAGAATCAAACGAAACTTACACTGAATGTTCAAGATTACAAATAAAGACATGTGCCAAACAATTTTGGAAGAAAATGTATACTGGCTGAGTAATGAGCATAGAAAGACAAGGAAATCAAGGTAGTACTAGCCCCGACACCATGTGTGTTGTCCCATACATGTATATAGCATTTTTGTGTACAGTGCTTGTTACTTTAGTTTACCAAGACTAGGCCAGATTTATTATGATTTTGATGACTCCAGAACCTTGCAGTGCACACCAATACTTACAATGTACATGCTACATGATCAACTGTTTCTGATCCATTCCACACCTTTTCTTTCACAATGCAATCGCATTACCAGTACTCGCCTTTATCTTTAAATACAAGTTATGCATGTTTGTGTATGATATTTAAAAAAATGTACATATATACATACATGTATATGGAGTCATACTGAAGATGTAGTTCCATTTCATTCATTTCATTTAATTTAATTCCACTTCTCATAATAAAAAATTGTGATTAACACAACAAAATAAGAAAATAGCATAACAATATTAGAAAGAATTGAAGCACCTAGAATTTATTCTTAAGACTGTGGTGGAGCCAGCAGAGGCCATTGACCTATCAAGGGCTGGTCACCAGGATTTTAAATATATAGTTACCGTAAATCTCCATGTATAAGGCGCACCCCTATTTTGGGGGCAAAAATATAAATTATAAATTAAAAAAATAAAAAATAAAAACAAAATAAATAAATAAAAAAATAAAAATATATATATATTTTTTTTGCCGAAAACCCACGCGGGAAGGACCTTCATTTAACATCGAGGTGCCGTTAAAGGGGCTGATTTGTGCTTGTGAACTTGTCATAAATAATAGTAACAATGTCGTTTTTAGAAGAATGTGTAAGATCATTAATGTAAATTAAAAACGATAGAGTACCTACGATAGAACCTTGTGGTACACCATTTGTTATAGAAAAAAATTTGAGGAATTATTATTATAAACTACATATTGAGATCTATTAGAAAAATTACTTTCAAACCAAGATGACAGACAAATTTGAGTGTTGTAGTTTCCGAGTAGTGAGTGCAGCTGGGAGACATTGCCAGGCATAGCGCCATAAATCGAAACTAAAAAAAAATATTTAATTTTTTTTTCCTTCCTGTACCTGTGTATAAGACGCACCCCCGACTTTCAATTTTTTTTGGCGGCAAAAAAGTGCACCTTATACACAGATATTTACTGTAGGTACAAAACACAGTTAAGTAAACAAGAAAAGGAAACAGGCGGTCTGTGTGAAGAAGAAGTACATGTATGCACAAAGAATAGTTTGGCATAAATACTTCAGGTGGTGTAGTAATGTTTTTTTTTTTAAATCAACATATTTTAGGATTTCAGAAGGCATTGTTTATATACGTTTGAAAGAGGCAAGCGATGGGCTTTCTTAAAAATTGTCATCAGGTAATAAAGTGTCAGACTTTCTGTCTGGACGATTCGTATTTTAACATTTGCACACATGGTCTATTGCAATATCAGGTATTGTACTGATGCATTTCAGAGTTTAACATTCATGAACATATCATTAAAAACCTGAGTCAACAAGTTGAAATATTTGTACATATAATGCAGTTTGCAATTTACTAGTGTCAAAATAGTTGAGACTTTAAGTTTCTTAAAAAGAGGATCACTTGGTGTTCTGGGATGAGAGTTGGTAATTGCACTCAGAGCCCTTTTTTTAATACATAAAGCTTATTTATTTGCACATTTCCACCATACTATTTTACAATAAGAAAGATACGGCAAGATCAGTGTGTAAATATAAATTGGTTGAAATTCTCAGAGGAATAAAAAACCTAATTCTATATGATACTCCAATGGCACATGATAATTTTCCCCATGATTTCATGAATATGACAAGACCAAGTCAGGCTTTCATCTACAGAAATTCCAAGTTATGTTATGCAGCATACTCTATTTTAATATACGTATCCTCAATTTCATAAATTATTTGTTTATTATTTTTCTTAAACACCATTGATTCTTTTTCAATCGATCATCAGCTCGTTTGCTGCAAACCATTGGTCAATTTTTGGAATTTCTGTACAAATAATGGCATTTAGTTCAGTTACACTTTTCCCATTTAAAAATAAGGTGGTGTCATCAGCAAATATTGTAGGGCAAATGAGTTGAGTAACATACAGTACATGTATTGCACATCATTAATGTAAAGCAGAAATAGAAGGGGCCCTAATATTGAACCTTGGGGTACACCTACAGAAATCTTGAGTAAAGATGACTTAATATCACCCAAGTAAACAAACTGACTCCTGTTATTCAAATATTTTTTATACTCCCTTTATATTCTAACATATACATTCATCTTGTATTATGTTATCATTTTATCACACTTCTTCAGTGACCACCAATACACAATTCTATTTCAATAAATGATAATAATGCACAAGTCTATGGTGGCTGTTGATCACTTAAGATGTTTTGTTGTGCATGACTATTGACTACATACATGTACATGTATGTACAGGTATTGATCATAACATTATGATGATTCTGCCTGTTTTGTCATACACACAAAATTGAAGTTGGGTTACCGTATTTGCCGGCGTAAAGGCCGCACCCCCGCATAGGCCGCACCCCCGATTTTGACATTAAAAAAAAAAAAAAAAAAAAAAAAAAAAAAAAAAAAAAAAAAAAAAAAAAAAAAAAAAAAAAAAAAAAAAATCGTTTTTTGTTTGTTTTGTTGTTGTTGTTTTGCTGCCGAAAACCCACGCGTGGAAGGACCTTCATTTGATATCGAGGTGCAGTTAAAGGCGCTGATTTGTGCTTGTAAACTTGTCACAAATAATAGTAACAATGTCGTTTTTAGAAGAATGTGTAAGATCATTAATGTGAATTAAAAACAATAAAGTACCTATGGTACCAGTGGTGTACCTTGTGGTACACCATTTGTTATAGAAAAAAATTTGAGGAACTATTATTATAAACTACATATTGAGATCTATTAGAAAGATTACTTTCAAACCAAGATGACAGTAAAATTTTAGTGTTGTTGTAGTTTCCGAGTGGTGAGTCAACACACTGATTACTGAGCTGAGAGACATTGCCAGGCATAGCGCCATAAATCGAAACTAAAAAAAAAAAAAAAAAAAAAAAAAAAAAAAAAACTTTTTTTACTCTTTCGCCGCATAGGCCGCACCCCGACTTTTTGATATTTTCTCTTCCAAAAATACTGCGGCCTATACGCCGGCAAATACGGTATGACTTGGAAGTACATACACTGTGTGTAGTTATTGGAAGTGCCTCTGTTGTATGAAGGTTGAATGTGCTGAGATTGTAATTAGTTGAGTAAATAAAGATGAATTTGCTTTTGGAAACACCCAAACTTGACATTCATGTTCCTTGAAGCCCAGTCTGTTTTGATTATATTTGCATTTAATTTATTTAGGGGAGATACATCACAAGTCCTATGTATTTCCATTTTCTACATAACATGTATATTTTTGATATGTTAAAAATGATTTTCATAATTGAGATTGCATAATGTACATACATGTATGGGAATAAAAATATCTGGAAAGGGAATATTTTGTGCAAGATACATGTTTAGTATACATGTATATTAATCATTTGTTATCATTAACACTAAGAAGATCGGATATACCTGCACAGTGTATTGCATGTCACATGTATTTGTATTGAATATTTTTTATAAACAGTGCAAATGTATTATTGTATAAGAATATTTGTAGGTTGTTCTTGGATGTTATTGGACCTGCTTTGTAATACACCTTAATGTGTTTATAACTGTAAATGTGATGTTATCATGGAACATGTACTTTGAACTAACATAGAACAAAGCACAAGGGTAAAGGGCAGACAACTGAATCTTTATCATTTTTTGAGACATTGCCAAAAGTATTAAGAAAAATAAACTATTACATGTATGTGCATCCTCTCATAAAGAAAGTATACTATAAACTTGTGTACCCTTTGTATGGGTTTAACAAAAAATGCCATCTTAGATATTGTTCACATTGGTCTGCTTATATGTAGTTTTTACAGTGAATGACAAAGTAATTTATTTTCATATGTTTATCAATTTCTGTCTTTGTAGGCATGCATAGCAAGGAACATCAAGTCCAGTATAGGTAAGATGAGTGGGGAAAGAGTGTGTGTGTGTGTGGGGGGGGGGGGGGGGGGGCTGCTGAATGTGATACCCTCTAAATGCATTAAAAAGCAAATATAGATTGCAAAAAAAGTAGAGACACAGTTAAAAGCATAACAATTTTACTGGGTATACATCCCTGAATACACAAATTTTACTGAAAGTAGCCTCTTGCAATGAAGTTTTTTTTAATAATTTTGTGCATTATATACCTTGGATCATTAATTACATTGATTACACTTCTCAACAGTTTTAGAAGTACATCAACCTTCTCCCGTTGCCTTTATCATCACAGCAGCATTACATACATGTATGTGGGATCAGTTATTTGATAAGCTTGAGATTAACATACTTGTCCTTTAATTTCATTACTTTTAAATTAGCAACCAGAAGACATTGCATTTATTTGGGAAAAATATTTTGTAGTGTAAATTTTAAACATTAACTTGTTAGCATGTTTCAGTTATAAAAGTAAAAATAAAAAAAAGATTCTTGGTTATTGTTACCTTGTATCTGGCATCAGTGGTTGTTTTTGTTTCTGAAGCATCATCTTGTTTACATTAATTAAAAAGATATCTTATTAAATACAAAAGTTTTTGATATTCTTTCCTTTTATCTAACTTAATATGTGCTTGTTTTATTTTCCAAACAAGCCTTCTCTGAGGGGTGCCAATGGAGGGCATACAGCCAGCTTGCAAAGCACCAGCAAACTCTAAGGTATTTACCCCAAAACAACTCCCTTAACATCTCTCCATCCTCGTCCCTATTCATCTTTTCATACCACCTCTTTAATTTCACCCCTGAGTAACCACACCAACCGTCCCCAAGGCAGGGCGAACTTGTTGCTTTTCATCTCGACACTCACAAAGACTTCCTCCCCACTCTAATGTTGAGAGCCATTATTGATTGCAAGAGTGGGGGAAAAACTTAGACCTTCATATATTTCTCCTGTAATCATATTTGCATCCATGGATCATTAATAACGAAAGAAGGCCACAGCAGGGGCTCAAAGTTGTCTCGTGCAGGGCAGATCATGAATAATTCACACCTGACTTGGATGCATTAAGAAGACCAACAAGATGAAAAATACACCCAAGAGTTCCCTTCATGACAGGCATTTAAGGGGGATAAAACAGCGCGATATTAATTTTCCATCTCTCTATGCCGTTATGCAATGAAGCATGGACAAGCGATGGCCAATGATCTGTAGAAAAAAGGATAAGGTATAATGCTAATCTTCCAAGTGGTCTGAACAAAGCGGAGCGAGAATGCAATGCAAATATTATACCACCCATAAACGATAAACAATTCCGCCATCAAAGAAGACAATTGTCAGGGGAAATGGATATATTGGCAGGAGGGAAAGCTCTAAGGGAAGAAAATTGCCTAGCATAGAAAAAGGTATATACTTTTCATTTAAAACCTTGAGAGGAAACCCTTTCCATCAAACCTGGTAACAGCTCTGACCCATTTTTTAAGTACCTACAAATTATCTTTCATCCCCTTGATTAGGTATAGTGGTGCAGTATTTGATTAGAAAAAAGAAAGTCTCCCCATTCTGGGTAAATGCACTCTGGAAGTGTGCTCATGCTATCAGTTATTGGAGTGAAATCAATTGGAATTAACGAAGGCGATGAACGCAGCTTGCTAGGGCAACAGGTTCCTCTGGAGTAGGGCCGAGAGGGATGTGTGAGAATTAGCCCCCTAATGTGTCTCTCATTTGTAAGCTATCCTCCTAGGATTAATGCTTAGTGAGGAATGGCTAACGTGCTATGCACTGGTCATTAAGAATAGATACGTACAAAATTTAACAGTTTTAATATTGAACCATTTTTCACTTAAAAAATATTTTAAAAATAATGAAAAAAATTGTTTTTAAATGTAGGCTTTACATATTAAAAAGTTTCATAGAAAGTGATAGGTTTAATTATATTGAGATAGGAAAAATAGAAATTCTGTTACACCGGATGATTTAAAAGTTGTTCAAATTTGGGAGTCGTGGGGAAGTTCAATGATCTCTACTCTCCTGGTATTATAAAAGTTAACAGACAAAATTTAACAGTTTTAATATTGAACCATTTTTCACTTAAAAAATATTTTTAAAATAGTGAAAACAATTGTTTTTAAATCTAGGCTTTACATATTAAAAAGTTTCATAGAAAGTGATAGGTTTAATTTTATTGAGATAGGAAAAATAGAAATTCTGTTACACCGGATGATTTAAAAGTTGTTCAAATTTGGGAGTCGTGGGGAAGTTCAATGATCTCTACTCTCCTGGTATTATAAAAGTTAACTGATCATCTAAAATTTGATAAAAATCACCCAATCATTTAAACAATAAAAATTGTTTTCTTAATAAAAACAGAGAAGATCAAACGCTCAAACCATTTTTCTTGGAACTGGTGTTCTAGAAAAGGAAATGGGAAATGTTGTTATTGATATCTTTTCCATTCTTCTTCCCCCGCTCAACCACTAATCTTTCAGGATACGACCAGTGCTAGGCGCCTTCCAGTCTCAACCAATCTGGGAGCTAAATGGTTGTAAAGGACTCCAAACTTCACATTATCATTGTAAGTCGTTATAATTAGTACCCTCTTGAGGAATTCTACCTCATTTGAAGAATATACATGTGCTTTGTAGAATAAAATACACGCTGTATTTGATGTAATTTAACCTTTCTTTAACCTTTTAGGGCAAGCCTAAGATATAATTCATTAATAAGTATTGCTAAATAGTATTATGGAATTATAAACATAACTTGGCTTTATTTTATTTTATATTTTTGTCTGATCCAAGCTCTTATACAGATGGCAGCTTGATATACAGTCATCAGATATACTAAGATATTAGATGTGGACATACAATTAAAACAATAAGATATAAGATGTGGTCATTAATATACAGGAAAAACTAGCTTGGACTTGTCCTTTCATTATTTTGAACAGATAATATGGCAAGAAGAAAAAAAGTTCACTTGCATAGAGTAGAAAGAGTATAACCAGTCTTGTTGAAATAGTTTCTGTTGCCAACTTGTGTTTCAGATGATGAGGTTAGGATCGTAGAAACACCTCCTTTCGCAGAGTCCGTGTCAGAGGGTGATGTGAGGTGGGATAAAGGTAAGATATATCTTAAATTTGATACATCCTAAAAAATTCACTTAGCATTTCTGCTCCCCCCCCCCCCCCCCCTGTTTGTATTGTTTTTGTCCTTTTTCAGTTTTCCTTTTCAATTACATCTTCTTTTGGGGGTAGAATTTACACCAATTTATCCTACAAACAAATGCTCTATCAGGCATAATGTGTTTTATACTGAAGGTATACTTACACTATGAACATGACAGACAAAGAAAGCAGACAAAATATACAGTTCCTCAGGTAGAGAAAGGAACTCCCTTCACTGGTATTATGTAAAAAGGTGAATATGCATGTGACACCTGTTCTACACATGTTTACATAATAAGGCATAATAGCCTTTGTCTACCTGAGGAACTGTATATTTTGTCCGCTTTCTTTGTTAGTCATTTTCATAGTGTTACTTTCACTATGAAAACGTGTATACTGCATTTTCATGCAGTAATTCTGTTAACTTTGAACATTTAAATGATAAATAGATCACTAGTTAATTACAGCACATTTAATTGAATATTTCAAAAGTATAACTCACCAAAAAGCTGTTTGAAACTTGTCATTCATTCAAGCATCATACAATATATGTAGAATATATGCGTGATATATCCACAGTTACTTTCACTTGAAAATATTAGATTCAACCTTTAATCTGTTGTGTGGTCATGCCCTCTTAAATGTACTTTTATTGCACGGTCAATGTGTGTACATTGTACTCTAATTCATACTAGTCAAGTGCAGATAACATGAACTTCCCATTCTGCTTATATGTGAATATCATCAAAAAGGCAGAGATAATTAAAGGAAATGTGAAAAAGAGAGAAATGTGAAAAAAGGGGGAAATGCACTGTGATATGAAAGGTGACCAAGATATTTAAGTTAGAGAATACCTCCTTTTTTATAAAAAGAAATATTTGCTCATTGTGTTTGACTGATTGAGGAAGAAGAAAATGGTCTGAGAAGTCTATAGGGAAGGAATGTGTTGTTTTATGATATTTTCAGATCATGGGGAATTTCGTTTTCTTTAGATAAACTTAAGCTGCATTAAGTAAAAATATAATGACAGGTCATTGTACTTTTAAGTTGATAATAGAGCACAGCACTAGTTTTCTTCAATAAACATGGAGAAATCATATGCATGTTATATGAGACATTTTAAAGCTTCTGCTGGCTTTGTTATTTTTTAAAGTAAATAAATAATTTCTGAAAACAATTTTTGAGGATGAATCAGAATGGTGCCAGCTGATAGCCAATTTGGAAGTATCAAGTTGCGTTCATGTCTGGAAGAGGTTACACTATCTGCATATGCATTTCCATGTATGTCCTTAGGGAGTGGGATTCATTTCAGGATAGACAAATAGATCTTTCCACAGTTGTATTTTGTTAAAGGCGCGTCATCAGGTACTGTCTCTGTTGGTCTGATACATACATTAGGTCACCTTATTACCCTGTAGATGCACAAAGTGAATTTGTAACCTTTACATTAATGATGTTTTGATTCCAGGAGCAAGAGTGTTATCATAAAGTTAGGTATGGTAAAGGGTAGAGGGAGTCTGTTCTTTAGTACTGGATGCAGTAATTCCCTTTACGTATGTTTTAGCAAATGCAAGGACTACAAACGATTTTCACTTTCCCCATCAAGGAGTGCACTTTGATTGGTAATTGAAAGGGTTGTTTACATGAACCATTAAGTAGATTTTTAAACCAATGTTATATGATAGTCAGGGAAATGAAGTTGTGTCAATGTAAACAGATCTGGCTGTGCAATCATTAAAGGAAGCTGACAGAGGGCAATGCACAATCGAAGTGTCAGTGTCCCTGTCTTCATTCTATTCTTGTTGACATCATGTTTAAGGGTGTCACTCATTGATTTTAATATCGGCAAGGAATCACCAGAGATCTCTTCTACTATTCTCCTCCGACAAAACTCCCCCGTATTAAAACACCATGTCCACTGCCCCGTGCATGTGCCAACGCACAGCTGCCCTCCTTTCACCGATACCCGAAGATTTCCTCCGCGGGATCAAAAGAAATATTGACGCGGGACCGAGATCGCTTTGGTGAAGATGCATGATGAAAGGGAAGACAATGTATGGAAGGATATGAGCAGGGATGAGACAAGTCGGTGGGTGTGAAGGGCTGCCGGGAAGCCAGATGCTTCACACCCAGAGGTTGCCCAAGTGTTGGCATTTTCAACTTTGATATCACTCCAGATGGTCTTGGGTCGTCAAGAAGAAGTTAAGAGATTGGTTTACAAGTGGCTTTTAAAGTGAATTTAATGCAGTGGGCAGGTGTGACATTTTACAAATCATGGTTATATAGAGAGAGAGTTTTAATTTATTGCTCGCTGTTATGAAGGAATACAAATTGTGGGCAGATCTCTTTTTCATACATGATGTCATGGACTTGGTTAACCTGATTTGTTTTCTCCCCTTCTTGTCTGCAACGGATCAAGCCTTCTCTTTTCATTCATTTGTCTTTTCTTTTTTTCTTTTTTGGGTCTATATTATGATTAGTTGAACCATCATTTCCCCTTCATTTGTATACATATTAACCAGGTGGTGCGGTCTTAATATCAAGCAAGTGTCTTTCATCTGTAAGTTTATATTGGTAGATTTTTTATTAATTAAAAAAACAAACATTAAAGAATGCTGGATGCAAGTCTCCTGTTTAGTTACGCATATATCATGACTCATATACTGTAGCATAAAAGGCTAGCAGTTGAAATACATGTAAACCATGATGACATAATTTAATTGTAGACATCAAGGGACCTGATTTCATTCTCATTTTTCTCTTTTTCAATTTTGTACTTTCTCAGCAAATTGGTTTGCATAAATATAATTTGTATATTACAAAGTTATCATTTTCCCCCTCATTTATTTCTTTTACGTGCCATCTCTTTTGGTAAAAAAAGAACAAAAACAAAAAAATGCTTGCTCAATCTTAACCACTTGTTAGAGTTAAATACAGAAAAAAAGATAATATAGATTTATTTCTCTATTTCCTCATATTTGCTCATTCTTCTTTGATATGCTCTAGCACTCAACCCCTTAGAGTGACTCAGTTACTTGCTCCCCACCATCCTATGCAACCAATCCCAGCTTTCTACCAACCTATTAAATATTTATCTTGTCTGTGGTCAAACCATGAATGCCCTGTCCTTGAAATACTCAAAGGAAACATCTCCACTTTGATCTTTTATAAATATATCACTCTTTAGAAACTAGTCAGTAATGTAGATTGTTTCCCAAATTTTGCCATACTTGACTTTTGACTATGAATGGAATGCCTGATGCAATAACTGGAGCATAACAACACAATTAATTGGAAGACGTTTCTTAAGAGTAGGAGTGAGGTTGACAGTTTCTATACAAAGTCATGCACTAGTGCCCAGTCCCATGCATACATTTGCTGGTAGAGGGTCTTTTGTCTTCTAGTCATATGCCTAGGTAATGGAACCGCCCAAAAAGTTATTGTCAAACAGATTAATTTTTAATGTCTTGTCTCAGTTGTCAGGAAAGAGAGCATTGATTTATATTCACAAGTCACTCTAAAGAAATAAAGATATCAATATTGTAATGCAATCAAGGAAATTGACATTTACTTGAAAGATTTCATTTTCATTTTGTAACTACCGGTATGCATCATATTCATTTTTTGTCATTATCTTTTCTTTTCTATATAACCCACATGCATTTGTATACCCTTTAACCTGTATATTCATTTTTTTTTTTTTTATAATGCTGTGCCAAACATTAGTAATCACTTTACAAGTTGGGTTGTTCAGGTGAAGGTTTTAAGATCAAAATTCATTGTTTGTACAATATTGAATATAAATATATAATCTGTACAAGTGTGCAGTTATTCTGAAACTCAATTGATATCTCACTATAAGTGCATTATTATACAGCCAATACCAAAATTTGTACATTATCTTGTGAATAGGCATCGTTTGGAAAGCTCTTTGCATTAAAGATTGAGAGCATGTATTCCTAAAGTAAAAAAAGACTTTTATAGAAAAAGAAATTGATATGAGACAAAGATAGATTGAGAGATACAGGGGGAGAAAGAAATTTAGAGAAACCATTCTCTACTCAATTATGGTGGCCTTGGAGTTTCCATTCGTGTCTAAAAAGTGATCAGGACATTTTCAAATCAATCCCATCTCGATGGCCAAAAAATAATAATAATTGGTATATCGAAGAGCAGTATCTCACTCGCCAACCCCAAAAGCCATGTCCATTTAAAAGTCTTTCCGACACCTCATTCCAAAGACAAGGCTAATTGAGCTATCCAAAGATGAATGGCAAATTAGATAAAGTGCTCATCTTTCTTGTCTGAAAACTAATCATCTTTTACCTCGGTGAGATGCGTGGTCGCTCATCGTCATGGCAAGGCCCATTACTATCCTCAAGGGTCTCGTTGAATTCTCATTTTCAAATGCTTCATTTACTCTCCTAAATAATTGATGACATCTTGCTCCTGCCTCCTCATCTCCAAATCAGTCTCTCTTCAAACTGTTGCTCTTTTTCTCGCAACTACAGGGTATCCAATAAAAAATGGGAGCTTTTGATGATTGAAAGACATTTTGGTTATACATCTACAAATTGAATGTCATTTTGTGTGTGTGTCTGTTACAAACAAACATGTGTATCAAGGTTATCAGGATTGGAAATCCTCAATCGTTTGGATGGTATTTGATAAGTTATTTAGATTAATCCAGTTGATTAATCTGGTTTAAATCAAGTCCATTACATCCTATTTGTTTTAATAAATTGATTATATAAAGAATAACTAATATAACCCTGAGGACAACATATTGTATGTATTGATAATATTAACATAGAACATGCCAGTACATACATGTATCCCCCCTCCCTGAATAGTATTAAGTGTGTAAATAGATTTGATGTTTAATTACTGATATAAAAGCTTAATTATTTCTTAATCCATCCTCAAATTGGCAACAATTATATATATTTTCCACTCTTGCATAATTATTTTATGAGTGACAAACATTTTGCCCCCCTCCCCTCCCCCCCCCCCCAAAAAAAAAAGATAATGTTTGAGCAAATATATTTTACATTTAGTAAAACCATTTTTAAGCTGGAAATTAATTTACAGTTACGGGCTAAAAATTATTGTGGATCTCCGTTCCATATCGATCTGTTATAACACTCAGCTTTTGTTCTTTCACATCTACTCTCTGTGTATTTGCACTTTTTGGAATCTTCAAGTAAAAAGCTATTCTTCTGGTTATATTAGTGGATTATTGACACTTGAAAGCCAAGAAATGTGAAAGATGAATATGCGAACAAGTTTACATTGTATCTTATTTCACACCCTTCAAATTGGCATTCTAGTTCCAGGATATAATTACTTCTCTTTCTGAGTATACTCATCTTTGGCTTTAAATACTCCATTTATAAAGTTATTTATAAAAAACAGTGGTGTCAGTTTACACCTTGAGTGCTGGAATCTGATCCTTGGACAAACCCTTAAACTTGGCCTAGATATGTATATATATTCATAAGAATTCGGTCATTAAGAATGAAATACACTAAATTTCTTCCAGATTCTTGTTTTACTGAGTAATACCTTACCGGTATGTGGGCGTATTGCGTGCTCACACTTCTTGTGCTGATTCTCATGTATGCTGCTGGTACTGGCTTGTTCAGTGACTTCAGACAATGTTGAAATATACCCTTGGAAGGGGAAATTCTGTCTTTATAAAAAATTCCTTGGATATTCCTTCAACTGTCTTTGAATTTCAACAGTGCAGGCATTTATACTAAATTGCCTTTGTCAAGAAATCCTTTTTATGAGGTCTGTGTACCGGTATCTGAGATAGTGGTGCAGTTTTTGTGTAATGTTGTCTACACAGATACATGATTGGCCCTCTCCGATGACTGAGGTCCGTCGACCGGGCGTTTTCATCTAAAGTGCCTTATGCATATTTGATGAGATATTTCATGCGGTATCAGACATGTTATGAGACTGACTGCCTTGCATGGGGGATACATTGCAAGGGTGGATTTTTGCAAAGATTGATGAGAAGATTATCAAGGCACTGAGGGAAAAAATTCTTATTAAAAAAATATTATAATCCTTCCACCCTGTTTTTTGTATTATGGGAATGTGTACACAATGTATAAACATGTATATTATATGGATAACGTTCATGTTAATTATTCGGAAGAAGATATCAGTTGTCATGACTGAATGGATTGTTTTATATAATGAAAGTGTTTGTATATACTCTGAAAGATATGCTTTCCCCCCCAACTATCTTGTTTATAAATTCTTGTGTTCAAGGAAAAATCATGCCGTAATATGTGTTTTAGGGCTGTTATTTTTTTCTACAAAGGTGTGTCTTCTAATACCCCACATATTGTATGGAGACTTTACAGTCCATTTTTAATATATCATAATGGTCTAGTGTTGTGTAAATTTATATTTACAGTATTTGCCTGTGATAATCTACTTACTAATTATGTCACTGATAGTATAGCTACAGTTGTACATGTACTTCACATTTAATAATTAGTGAAGTTAAAAGAAAATACTTTAGGTGAAGTAATAATCCAGAGTTATCTCAAGTTCATATAAAATCTGGATGTGACGTGCTTTACAATCTATCACAGACTTTGAGGAAACCATCTGGTCGAAAGTACACTGTAATAATATCTTTCTCATGTTGTTCTGTTTTGTCTTGTTTGCATTTGCTGCCATGTCCTGCAGGTGTTGGAGATTTTGTAGAGGAAGATGAAGTTGTGGGAGAGATAGAAACAGACAAGGTAAGACTGACATGGCAATCATTTACAGTACACCATTCCATATGGTTCCATTTCACTTGTCCTTGTATCACCTTGAAACTCAGGTGGGGTGTACCTGTATTAAATGTAAATTACATGCAATGTAATCCACACACACATGTATGTTATAGGTCTAAGAGTCACATTTTTCAAGTACAGTCATTGTTGGGTCATTTCCTGCTCTGTAACTTCACTCATTCTTCCTTTTGTAACATTCCTTTGATAGCATTACCAGATGTATAGTGTTGTAAATTGGTTTCGTTCAACGTTTAACGAGTTGTAGAGAATACAGAATGCCATGATAAGGCTGTTGTTTGTAGGTCATGCGCACTTTTTTGTATTATTACCAACCGGTATACATGTGTAGGTGTGTATTTCATTGTGTAAAAAGGAATATATATTCAATTACCTCATGGAGCTTCAGTTACATTGTTTGTGTACATTAATAGGTGTATGATATGCAAATATAGAAGTACAGGACATGAAATGGGATGAATATAAGTTCACATTTTCAATAAACAGTCTGGGAGATACATGTTTTATCTTATCATCTAGGAATATTTTCATTGGAATAAAGACACATATCTATAAATGTTTTTTGATAGTCATCGAAATCAGAAAATTGCCATTGCTCGGCAGCATTAGATACATGTAAGTACTCTCAGTTGCTGTTAGATGTTTTATATACAGGTTTAATAGAATTATATATAAAACATAACAAGAATTATTCTAGGCAGTAGACACCATAATTGATGAGGAAATGTTTTCAACTTTTCAGAAGTGGATCTGGGATTTTTTTCCCCTCAAGCTATACAATGAGTGTTAAAATATATTCTGTCTGTTTGATTTTAGTTGATGAAACATCCCAATTGAAAGGGACACCAATTTAGACCCACAAGCTCAATAATACCGTCTTTCTACACCGATATGTTTTTTTCTTTCTCCTGTCTTGCCAGACTTCTATCCCAGTACCAGCACCATGTAGAGGAGTCATCCTTGAGTTCTTGATTCCAGATGGAGAGAAGGTTGTACCGGGTCAACAACTTCTCAAGATACAAGTCTCAGGTATAGTTCTGACCTCCATTCATTTTGAAGAAAAAAATCAAAGCTTATCAAGAGTCCTGCTATTAACAAAACTGCATTTCAAAAGAAACCCAAGTCTGAAGACATTTTTAACTGTCCTTAATTTATAAAAAAAATAAAAAAAAAAATAAAAAAATCCCTTTTTTTTGGGTAATAGAAGTAAAGCTGGTTAGACCAGCAAAATGCGAACAAGCTAGTGAAACGTGGCTGCAAATCATATTCACTGAAAAGTTTTTATGTGTTTCTTGTTTGAGAAATAGTTCAATATTGTTGACTACTGGGGCCTGATAACTTGAACGATGGAATATTTTGATATCCTTACCTGTATTTGTGTTTCATTGTGCTGTAATGACAGGGAAAACAGTTTAGTTGACCTAAGCCAATTGACAATTGGCAGTCACATCATGTCTACTTGAAGTTACAATCAATACCATTTAGAAACTATTGAAAGAAATGAGTACATGTTTTGAAAGCCTTGACACAATACATACGAGAGTATATTTGTGTTTAATTCAGACATTGTTTGTGACATCCTTCATAGTATGATTGGTATAATCAGGAAATAATAAATTTGAAATGAGTATAAATCCATGTGTATGTCTGCAGGAAATCAAGTTAAAAATCTATTGATATGATATACACAAAGTGGGTCAACTTCTATTTAAAAAAAAACCTCAGTACTTTTAAACTGACCTGACATATCAAATATGATAGTATTTAGGAACAACGATTTTCTGTTGATACGGGAAGTGGAAAGTGGTATTGTTTGAAATTGTGCATTAAAGACCTAAAGAAATATGACTATTATGCTAAATCCTTATATTTCCCCATTCTATCTATACCAATAGCCGGAGATGCCCCCAAGAAAGCTGCTCCAGATGCTGCCGCAGCCCCTCCTCCTACCCCTCCACCACCTGCAGCTGCCCCAGCAGCACCCCCTGCTGGAGCCTCAGCTGGACCTATACCCTCAACACCGCCACCGGCGCCCTCTATACCTACAGGGCCTATGACGTCAAAACCAGGTATTACAAGTTGAACTTAACTCTTAGAATTTTTCAAACACATAGTACGATAAGCCATCATAATGAAAGAAGTTTGTCAGATATCTCAGGTGATGTTGATGTTTCAGCTTAATGTTGTGTCACTTGCAAGAAAGCCACCAGTGGACCTACAGAAGGGAGTTGATTGTGGATTCATTTCTTACCAAAAGGAATTAGTGCATCGACTTGGTTTCTAACTCAATATCTCATACTTACAAGACCACTGCTTATTCACTTAACTGCCTCCTACATGTAGATAATGGATAGCAATGTGCTCACAAAATGAAATGGCTGCAAAATGTACTTGTTTTCTTCAATAAGCAAGTAGTATATGATTATTAAATATGCCTATGTTTTCCTTTAATCAAAAATGCTATGAACACTTTACACAATAATTGACTTTTTGGCAGTATTTACTTCTCCCAAAGAAAAAACAGGATAACACTGTATTTCTTTGTTACCGTGATATTAGCTATTGGTATACATATTGAATCACATCCCGATGTATGGATGATCTTTCAAAGTAGGAGGGTACATTTGACAAATGTCATGGTACCCATTCTGAATGCTATTGAAATCTTGAGATTTTTTGTAAAGGAGCTACATCTGTACCTTAATTTCATTAAGAAACCACAATTACCCTGCACAAGGAGATGTTACGTAATGACTGATTAGTTGGTTTGAGTGTGGACACCTTTGAGGAGGGAGGTCACTGACCCCTCTAGCAGAAGACAAATGTGGGGCTGATCTTCAGCAAAGAAGATCCATGCTGGAGATTGATCTTAATGTTTGGAAAACAAGTACAAGTAACAATAATGTGATAGTAGGTGTGCTGTGTAAGAGTGAACTCCTGTAAAGGCCAGTCAATGATTCTCCATCAAAGTGAACACAAAAGTGTACTGGCCTCTGCAATCAAGACTCTGGCTTTAAGAATGATAAGTTGGAAAAGTTATTCCTTATCGGATTGCCTTTCTCAAGTACATACAAGTACTTATTATGTAATTTGTGGTATCATTCTCTTAAGAGTGGACACCTTTTGGAACAAGTCAACAACTTTTCTGCTTGCTTGAAGACAGAACGAAGGGTATTGCCCTCCACAATCAAGATTCATGCTGCGAGATTGATATGAATTTAAAGAAAAAGTTAGACTCGTTGGATTTGCATTTCTATTGTACAAGTAGTATTATGTAATATCGAGGGGTCAGTGACACAAAGACGTAATTCCATTTTAGCCATTTTGAGAAAAAGTGGTTTATGTGTCACTGAGCACTTGGGCCTTTAGGAGTTAAGTCATGTTTCACTAGCCATTGACTTCGATGGGGTGCTGGGTGGAGTTAAGTCTTTGTGATTCCTGGAAAGCCCACATTTTTCTGAACATTTTGATATCAAATACTCATATGGGCAAAATATGGAGTTACGTCTTTGTGTCAATGAACCCTCAGAATACAGTATGCTATCCTGAGAGTGGATACCTTTTGCAGCTAGTCAAAGACCCTTCTGCCTGCCGAAGACCAAGTACAGGGTACTGTCCTTTTTGGACAAGTTTGGACAAACAGACCTCATGGAGTTATCTATTAAATACATTCAAGTATCAATTAAGCAATACATAGTATGCTGTGGACACCTTTTGAGGGAATCCATTGATCCTTCTTCCAGCGAAAGACAAAAGTGCACAGTTTACAGCAACCAAGTATCGATTCCTACACTGCAAGATTGATAAGTCTGATGGGATTGCCTTTCTGAAGTACAAGTTTAAATAGTTATTATGTAATATGAGGTATGCTGCCCTAAGAGTGGTAGACACCTTTTGAGGGAAGTCACTGACCCTGCTGGTAGCAGAAGACGAAAGGGTACTATCCTCCACTATCAAGATTGAGACTATAAGAACTTGCGTGATAAGCTTCAAAACAATGAACACAATCCATTTCCTGAAGATCTGGAGTCCCATTTATCTGATTCCAGCAAAGATATAGATATTGTTTACCAGCGACTGCAGTGTCATTGCACTTGAATGTGTGCACCAGAGAAATGCATGTAAATCACTAAGATCACCAGAAAGGACCTGTCTTGTAATGTATATAACTCCTGAAATATAATTTGCTATTCAGGGGATTAATACCTTTTCACCACCAAAACTAAAACTCTCAGCACAGTTCGTACACATGACAGTATTGTACAACCACTTCCTGCATATAAATTAAATTTACTGAAGTTTCAAGCTGCAAAATGATTAAATATCAACATGCCATTATAACATTTAACAAAGGTTTCTAGTTGTGAAAATGGCTGTTCTTCTAAAAATATCTTGAATTGTTCAGGTCACAGAAGTTTCTAGATTTACATTAGTGTTCCAATTTAGTTAGCTTTATAAATATCTATAGGATTTATCTAAAAGTACTTTTGAACCCATTGGCACTTGCATGCATGTATTGCCAAACTGATGCTAATCGTGCCTGCTACACGTGGAAATTGTTTTAGAATTTTCAATTATAAACAAAGTTACAGCATAAGATAAAATATGAAGCATAATGTTTTTTTAATTATGATTTGAACAAATTCTTATTTATGATTACAATTTAAATGTAATGCAATGTTTCAGCACTTGGTACTTTTTAGACCTCGTACTGCTTTCCTATTAAACTTAGATGATACCCTTAAAATTACAGTATGTGAGTCCAGTACTTCTATCATTGATATTTTGGTAAGAAGAATGTGTGTCGTCAAGTATCAAGAGAGTATTCTTTGTTGTCTGTTCTTGTGAGAACTTATGCTGCACTTGCACAAAGATTAGGCACCAGTAGCACCTCCCATAAGAAATATGTTTCTTCTTTTATACATGATTAGCGTAGTGCTGACTTTTAAGCTTACTTCCAATATGATTAAGATTATCGCATGTTCTGCGGTCAAAGCAACTCTGAGCCATTTGATCATCTTGATAAGTGGATAAAACCTAAGACAAACCAATGGTTTGTCTATGTGTATCAGGTACGTGTGCCCCACTCCCTACCACTATTTATAAAAAAAAAATATTGTGGTAAGATATGTTTAGATCCATGGTCGCATGTAAGTCGATGTTTGCATGAGCAAATATGGTTGCATGTTCTGTGGTTACAGTGAGACTGAGCCTGGTTTACATGCAGATTAGTGGACAGACCACTGGTTTTTCTGAGCACTGGATGGGACTTAGGTCTTGGGACTACGCCTGTGTGTGTGCTGATCATACTGGAGGTCTTGTAGTTTCACTTGGCATTGATACCATGTTAGAAAGCATGACTCAACCAAGAAAGATTAGATATAATGGGATAATTTGATAATTGGAGATAATAACCCCAGGTCTCAAGCAATTTCTACAATTGTCAGATGATATCACAGCTTTTGTTGTGTTCAAATCTTGATGATTACCAGTATCCTGTGGGGGATAGCGTGGCTCACAGTCTCAGATGTCAAAACCGAACAACAAGGACTGGCCCACTGCAGACATGGCAAGCCGACCCCAGCTCTCTCTAATCCAGATAACACGGAGGTCACTGGATGTACCTCAGAGTTAAAGAAAGTACTCAGTCGGGTCAAACAATTGGCATGAGGTGGCAGAATTCACGTAACAGTTGTGAAATTGTTGCACGCTTCCTATATGTCATCTTACATCGCCTGCAAAAACCCACTTTAATCCTCCCAATTGTATTCCTGTCAACGCTAAATCAAATCAAGCCAGACTGGGGAAGTTAAAATCAACTGTTCCACAGATCTATGTCACAGAGATTTGCTTAATCTCATTTGCATTTTTTTCTGACAGTCACTGCTTGTAAGTGTCAGAAAATCTCTCAAGGTATCAAAATACTGCCCTGACTCACACAGCCCAAACAATAGTCTTATTGGCAACCGGATATTCCTTGTTTTGCTGCAAAGATTGGGTATTCCACAAATGTCACATCCAATTCTCAAAGCGGTTTGGACCAGCGGCCATAATCTTACCTGACAGAAATAGCCCCAGTATTGCAATCCTGCTGCTCTACAAAATCAACAGTATTGCATGAAACAGGATTATCCAGGTAATTTGAAATTAATATTCCCGATTAAACCTGTTGCTTGTAATTTGATACCCGATTATTGTGATTTAAATTGTCAAAGGTATGCTTGTGATAAAGAAAAAGAATGGCAGGGGATGGCAAATTTCCTGTTCTAAAACGGACCACATCATGGGATGTTAGATTAATACAGGTGTATTAGTTGATTGGAATGGATAGGACAGCCTCAATTTGAATCAAACCTTATTATTATTTTGTCATTTTGATTTGTTGTCTTGCTCTTGCTGTAATAAGATAGTGATGTACATCCACTTAAAAAAATAAAAGAAAGGCTAATGGCTATTTTTTACTCTTTATTGTGAGTGGAGTGTTATAGAGGTGTTAATCTTTGCAAAGTTCAAATCTGCTGCTTTTTCTGAATTTCTGTAGAGTTTATTATTGTTTTCTGTATATCTCAGGCTTTGATTTAATCCGTTATCCGTATGATCTGTATCATTTGTCAAAGTGTGTATTTGTCATCACTCCTCTGTGAGTAATGATGAAATATACATGCAAAGCATCAAGAGCATCTACATTTTAGACAGACTTTTAGATTTCACAATGACAATTATCAAAACAAACTTACTTTACTTGTGTTTTTGAAATTCAAGTTTTATGATTATTGGATTAAATCATTTACACTGTATTAAAGTCCATATTTAGTTCTGATAAGGGACAAAAGTTGGTCTGATTAATGTTTGAATTATTTGGAATTATAGAAGGCAAGATACATGTAATTTAATCAGGGTGGAAAGATTTCATAACTGCAAATAGCTTTATAAGAGAATAACAAATTTTCAACTCCTTTTTGATTGGTATGTAAATCCTGTCAAATCTTGATTCTAAGGTGTTCAACTTTAAATACTACATGTATGTACCTTTTGAATATTTATCTTTACATCAATTCAAAAGATGAACAGGATCTTTTTTTTCTTTTTTTTCTCTGGTGTGTTAGAATAGATGCCATAACTACAAGCAGCATTCACCTTGGCGATTGCTCCACTTGTCCATTTCTAACACTAATCAAAGGCCTATATTCAATCTTGGAGCACTTTCATGACCTAACCTACAATCTCCAAACTACCCAAGCCTTGCCCATGTTTTTATTTGTGAAAAGGAGCTGGAGCAAATTAGAATTGTCATTTTGTTTTTTAGCTGATTCTCTCTCACTCTATCTCTTTCTTCTTCAAGAGTAAATCAGAGTCCTATCTCTCAGTCTTCAATCTCTCGTTAATCACTTAGCGCCCTCATTATTCTTTCATCAGAAGCATGTCTTTGAGAGAGAAGCACTGCCTTACGCTGGGAATCGTTTGCTTTTAGTCTGAATTAAAGATGAGCGCTGCATGATCTAAGTGCGCCTATCATCTGCTTCTTGGGCTGGATCCGTGTTTCTTGATTAAGTTTTCATGAGGCAATATTGCGATTAAGATCGGGAGATTCAAGTGTGTTTACTGAAGATTTACCCAAAAGAAACGTTAGCTTTTAGGCTGAATTAAAGATGACTGCTGCGTGGCCAAGATGAAAGGGAGATGATACCATCTGCTTTTCTTCAGTCCGTTTAATAGGTGCAGTGCTAAGTCTCTATTGACAAGACTTGATTACATGAATGCCTGTGTAGTTTCTTTTCATTTAAAGGATTGTATAATATATTTATGAAGCAGCAATAGGTTGTGAAAAGTTAATTATTTAGAAGAAAATGCCAATGCAATGAGTGTTTGATATCCATTTGTAAGTACAGATAATTTTCCCTATTAAATGCCTTCAGTTCTTTTCCATAGGTTTGACTCTACAGTTATGCAGGTACTTGTGATAATTGAAAATTATCATCAAGAATTATGTATTAACTTTATGAAGAAGAGCTAGCTTGTGAATAGTAAAGGAAGTAGAATTCTATATGCAAACGAGTGTGATACCATTTCTCTAAACTAAAAACCATTTTCCTCAATGTCTTTAGTTCCATTCCAGTGTGGTTGTAAAGGCACTTACAATAATTGAATTTACGATCCATGTTTCCTTCAATTACTGAAACATACAGCCTTGGCCTGAAACGTCTCGTATCCAATCATCTATCAGTTTTTCTTTGACATGTTTCCCTCCGTATTATAAGATCATAAAATAAACATCCCTGTTATATGCAAAATGGTTTAGTAGCATTGTAATTATCATATCATCATTATTATCATCATTCTTATCAACACCATCATTGTTTACTAGTAATATCACAATCATTAATGATTATCACCATCATTGTTATCAATATTACTATAATTTATTGTTCATCTTCATCATCACTACCACCACCACCACCAACAACACCACCACCCCCACCACCACCACCACCACCACCACCACCATCATCATCATCATCATGTAATAGCGTTGCTGTTAATTACTGCTTTTACATACAATGTTAAACACACCTTTTCCATACTTGTTCTACAGCATCATCAGTCCCCATTCAACCAGCAGCAGCAGCCCAGCAAGCCATGTCAGCTGAGATGCCTGCTGGATATGGAGTAAGATCGGAACAGAGGGTAAGATAGTCTGTTGGCTTAAAGCCCCACTGCACTACTTATAGCTACTTGCGCCCTCTATATAGCAGACAATACCTAATCGGTGACCATTGGTCCACAATGATCCTCTTTTTCTTATGTTAATTGAGAGCTGATTTGATGAGATAACCACCTGTCAGTGACCATGCAGGGAGGTCTAATCCCTCCTGGCCAAACTAGTACGGTGGGGCTTTAACTTTGATGTTTCTCTTAAAACCCCGTTCAGACATGACACAGAAAAACTGCCGGGAAAAAAAACACCATAGCAAACTTTGTATGTAGATTAAATCAATAGGCAGTATATTTGTGAAAGGTTTATTGCTGTGCACAATAATTGCCTAAATGTGTCCTCATACTTTATGATTTTTATGTTGCAAAATACAAAAATGTATTTTTATATTAAATGATAACAGATTCCTATATTGCATTATAAAAGAGTATTCTGTGTGTTGCAAGATACAGAAATATGAAGGGCTATGTTTATCTTATTAATCTTTGCACCACATTATTTTTAGTGGCTCACTGATTTGTGTCTAAATGGGTCTTAATTCAGCGTCTGAACAAACGGGCTATAGACTAGAAGGCCTTGTTATGTAGCTGTTGATGCATTCTCTGTGCATCTTTTTCTTCTTTAGGCTTGACTCAAGATACACTGTCATTTGTCTAAGTGTCAAATTCGGGTCTGCACTTGCAGACTATGGCTTAGAGGAAAATCTTTGATCCTAGTTGTCTTCCATTTACCATCTCAAGCTATATGATACGGATACATTACATTTGTCTATCTTTGAGCAAGGTTTAAACTGCGAGAGATTTCTAGCATTGATCTGAGATGTTTCTTTTTCTCTACCCTCCCTTCCTCTCAATTGATTAAGTAGTGCAATAGATAGTTATAGATGTTAGTTTCTATATAATGTAAATATGAGATGAAACTTAAGTGTAAAATGAATAATGAAATCATACATTCCTGGATTGATCAAATTCAGGAGGGTGATTTGGACTAAGTTAATCTTGATGCTTAAGATTTTAATTAATCCAACAATTTTGTTAAATAATCCTTTGTTTTGGGTATATGCCCATTTCCGATGGGTATCATTTTGTATTATCTTGAGCTTAGGATTTAAAGGGTTAAAAATTCAGAAGTGTGTACTGGGAAGAAACTGTTAATAATGGAATGGAGTTGTGCATCGCTAATGTTATTAGTGTGTGATTCTATTTAAACCTGCAGGTTAAAATGTCCAGAATGAGACAGAGGATAGCACAGAGACTCAAGGAGGCACAGAACACAACTGCAATGCTTACTACTTTCAATGAGATAGATATGAGGTGAGACGCGTTCGGGATGAACTTACTTTGTTCTCTATATTTCAGGATAACTTTCAACTGCTTTGACATCGATTCTGTTCACTAGGGCCACTCTCACAAAACTGTCTCAAGTTGGAGATTGGTGGACATCCCCTTGGAATACATGTACATGTTAGAGAACTTAAATACGTTTACTGATAATGGTTGTTGTGAGACAGGCCTCAGTGGTACAGAAAAATTTGTTTTGTATGGCAAACTTGTTTTGTTTTTGGGATTAATTCATCAGAATATCCAAACAGTTTTAAAAGTCAAGGAAATCCACAATTACCCTGGAATATTGAATTGACAGTGTAATTTACCTTTACTTATCCTCTTTTTTTTAAAATAAATAAATTCTTTCAAGATAGACTATGTTGTTAGGATAGATATGAATGAGTTAGAGTGACAATTGTATCGTCCTAACTCGTCTCCCAATATTATATGCCTATGACCTCAATGATCATAGATCGGAATTCAGAGGTCGCAAAGACCATTCCATCATTCTCCATTTAAAAATATCTATATTTATTATAATACGTTATTGTTAACATCCTATTTATATTACCTATTTCCTATCCACAGCAACATCATAGCAGTGAGGAATAAACACAAAGATGCTTTCATTAAGAAGCATGGGGTCAAGTTGGGCTTCATGTCAGCCTTCGTCAAGGCATCGTCCTACGCACTCAAGGAAATGCCAGTCGTCAATGCAGGTATGTAGTCATTGTACTCGACGACTCGCAGAGTTACCCCATGTTTGACATCACAAGTTTTGACCGAGTTGCCAATGGGAAATTGATATTGATCTTAACTTGCAAGAACAAAAATACCCCAAAATTTTCCGTAATTTTCTTCTCGAACATTGTTTTCTCCCTACTCTAGACAACTGTACATAGAAGGCTAATGCCCGAGTAAATTAGACTATCAGAATGATTTCAGAGTGACATCTGTGGATATATCCACATGAGCTATGATGAAAGACCCTGCAACTTTCTACCTACTGAAATTGCAAATCTTACCACATTCTTCAATGGCTTCATGATAAGGTCCGACTTGAATATTTTGAATTGAGCAAATTGATGTCTGTGTTGACACCCCTAAAAAATCAGTGCCAAAATGAATTCATAGTAGTAATGGTTTAGTTTTTTTGTTTGTCATTAATAGAATTCTTTTAACGGTAGACATACGGAGGCAAGGTGCATTTTATGTTTGCAATTCTTTTTAGACATAAGGGAATTAATTCAATAAGAGATATATATGAGCTATCATCTTTTTGGTTCTCAAGGAATATGAGTTATAATATTGTGGCTCTCAACAGATAAAATTTACTTGAGTAATCATAATAAAAGCCGTATACTGATAATCAGTAGAATTTCATTCATTTATTTACTTTTTGCTTTCTCTGATTCCTTTTCCAATGCAGTTATCGATGAGAATGAAATAGTGTATCGGGATTACGTGGACATCAGCGTTGCCGTGGCTACTCCAAAGGTGGGTGGAACAAAGAAGAGATGCCTATTATTCTTCCCTTCATTTCATTAGTGATAATATAATAGCTTGTTAAAAGTGAGCAAGCTACTAAGAGTTGATGATCTGTTCTTACATCAAATACTAAAACTTCTAGAGAAACTTTTTTTTTAAACATCAAGAAACATGCTTTAATACATTGATTAATTTTTTTTTAAATGTACCTATGTTTTCCTACACTTCAGCCATACATCACCATGAAATGGCGATAAATTGGTCAACCGTCGACCTAAGGTGACTTTATGAATTAGGAGTTCATCTCACCTTTGTCATAATTTTTACTTACATGCATGATATAATTACTAACACAGTTGACTGGATATTACCTCGTAAAGTCAGCCGTAAATGTATGCAAACGTCACATACACATGACAAAGGACTCTTCTTGGAAATATCAAATATATACCTGATTATATGTAATATATTTATGAGCTGCAAGGTCTCGCATGGAACAACTTATTTGGACTCGGACCAATTTTAAGATATCAGGAGCAGTATATTGTCCTTGGCATTTGATCATAGACTATTTATTCTTGTAAATTATGAACACCATGTTTAATGGAATGATTCTAGTATGATTAACATGTTTTTTTTTTTAATTGTTTGAACTCTATCCTTCTCCAGGGCCTAGTTGTTCCAGTCCTTCGGAATTCAGATGGCATGAGCTTTGCTGATGTTGAAAAGGGACTCAATGAGCTTGGTGAAAAGGTAATCTTTATTTTCCTTCATGGCTTCCCTCCAAAACTATTCAGCAATTTTGCTTTTAGAAAAATAATCTTAATAGGGAGCCACTCAAATTAAATAGACTGTGCAATGATAAGTAAGGCCATAAGAAAATAGTAAAGAATACCCCAAAGTACAGATATTGTAATTGTAGAGTGAATACAGAGAAAATAATATGACATGCAGTGGAAATTTAATGTGGTAACACTGTTTGATATTTATTGCCAGTATGGTTTTATATGGAGTTGATTGTTTTAGTTCTCAGCAAATACAAGTGATTAAAAACATCACTGATTCTGTAGGACATTACAAGTGAAAGATTCATTATTTCTAGAATAACAGGTACCATGAAGCAATAGTAATTTACAGATATATGTAATATGTTTCTTCTTCTTTTTTCGTCTTCTTCTCCTCCACCTTCTCCTCCTCCCCCTTCTCCTCCTCCCCCTTCTCATTATACTTCTTCTTTTTTTCTTCTTTTTCTTCTTCTTCTTCTTACTCTTCTTCTTCTGCTCCGTCTTCTTCTTCTGCTCCTTTTTCTTGTTTCACACGTGTCCCCTCTCCTCCTCTCCCTCTGCAATCCTATTTTCTCATCCAGGCTCGATCAGGAACCCTAGCAGTGGAGGACATGGACGGAGGCACATTCACTATCAGCAATGGGGGTGTCTTTGGTTCTATGTTTGGTACCCCTATCATCAACCCCCCTCAATCGGCTATCCTTGGCATGCATGCCTCCTTCGACAGACCGGTCGCTATTAATGGAAAGGTGAGCTCCTCAAATATGATGAAGATTAGATGATATTACTCTAAAGCAAATCATTTTTGCAAAATGCGAATGGAAATCTTACAAACAATTAACTACAGACATTTTCCTATACTATTGTGTAGCATTCAAGAAACTAGCGAAAGATTTGCTCAAATAAAATGTTCTAGTTTAATAGTATGGCCGTTGTGTCTACATTCTTTTTCCACATAGATGCAAGCTATGACAAACAAAAATGATGCCAGTTTGTCTAAGATTCATTACATGCATAATTGCAACAGAATTGCTTTTTACTTCAGCATTAACACCTTGGATATCCTCATTGTATACATTTTCTGTACAGGTTGAGATTAGGCCTATGATGTACATCGCCTTGACATATGACCACAGACTGATTGACGGCAGGGAAGCGGTCTTGTTCCTTCGCAAGATCAAGGCCGGGGTAGAAGACCCTAGCATCTACCTACTAGAAATGTGATGTAGACAAAATTATAGAACTAGGTATATTTAAGAAGATCTGGTGACGAAGTCGGGAAGAAGCATATACAGCTGGACACATGATTGTAATATTCTGCAATGAGATAATTGAAGTGGAAGATTGATTTGATGTAAGATCCAGTTGTTTTTTGGAGTCAGATTTGGATGCAATCGTATGGAATCTACTATTTGTTGACATTTTCGTTGTTGATGAGTTTGTCTTTTGTTCCTACTTTAATAGTGCACATCTCCTATGGTTTTGATGAATCAATATTTATTTAGATTTCAGTAATTTCATTGGGAATTTCTTTAATAATAATTTACACAAAATTGCCAATTTTTATTTAATTGGAATGCAACTTATGTGTGATATTCATACATCCTTACCAATACTTTTGTTACCATTATATTGCATCAAAGTAATCCATTACCCAATGACATTTACAAATAGGTCACAATTATTATTTGGTTTCTTGTTTCAAACTTTGACAATATTTTTGGATGAAATGTATATATTATATGACCTTTACGAAAATTGTCTGAATCAGATTCATGATTGAGGCGGACAATCAAATTTGTGGGCTGGCTTGTTAGATGCATGGGATCCTCAAGTTTATGCATATGATACAAATGATATTTACTTATTAGAAAACACATGATATACATCAACATGTTCAATTGATGGCAGATAAACAGATAGGAATACATTTTAAATGATCAGACAAATTTCAGAAGTATCGTATAATAGTAATTCAATCTCTTTCTTTTCTCTTCATTTAAAGACCATTTATATGCACTGCCTTTGATATGAAAAGTTATTTATAGTAGACATAAAGGGTTGTTACTGAGGGTTTTTTAGTTCATGAATGACTTTCTGGTAAGATGAGCATAAATTCTCTCTCGTTGGTAACGTTTTCGTTTAATAAAGGTGGCAAAAAAACTACTGTGAGAAACATGATATTGCTTGTTGCATCGAAGACCAATTATTACGATCCAAATTGGTTTACATTTACATTGTACATCCATGGAAATGTTAGAAAAGGATAACTCACTACCTTTCTTATGTTTGTACCCATTCTTATGAATACATGAATAGGCTGTTTATTTGTTTTATTAAGCAGTTTTCAAACAGTTAAACAATGCTGCAACAGCTCCTACCAAACAAAAGATGTTTAGAGCCATGTGTTGTTTGTCTGGTTGATGTTCTGAAATTTTGTTATAGTCTATATAGTTGCTATAAACAAAGCTTCATCATACACTTTTAACCAGGTCTGAAGGGCTAGCCAGACTTCACTTGTTACAAGAGCGATAAAAATAACAAGAATTCTTTTTTCTTCAAAAGGTACACACTACAGCTTCCCTATTATTAAACCATGGCCTACGATAACCGGGTTGTTCCTGTTTATAATAAATCTATTGGAATTAGAGATTTCAGCAGTCGTCAGGTTAACATCCACAAGCATAGTTGCATGTACACACCACATAATAGGGTGTACTGTTAATAGACTGGTTGACTAATATATTCAAATTTATGGTTTATTTCCTGGGGACCTAGTATACCATTAACCTGTTATTAATGAATGAACTACAATACCTGGAATCCAGTCTGCATATATTAAGTGTTGCTACATCAGGTAAGCCTCATGCAAGCTTTCTGGTTGTCAAGAATAAACTATGTTTAAAAAGTACACCTAAAATTTGAATATGTTAGTAAAGCAGTCTATCGTTGGAAATGTTGTTATTGTTATCGTAGAGTTCTGACAATCCCTTAACTTGAAAAGGTTAACTATAATCCCGCTAATATGAGCTACACCCACTAATAAGGATCATATTCATTGTCCATTAAACAATGGATAATGAATGAATATGAAGCCTTATAAAGGCTCATTAGCAGTATCATTCTGAAAGGACCAATACATCATATCCTGGCCAAATCAACTGTAGGAAACTGATTCATTGATAATTGGATTTATGCACGTAGGGGAAACTAAAAATGTTTAATGATCAGCTAATGATTTTTTTTTCTCTCTCTGATTTGACATTTGCCAAATGTTGTTGCAGAGTATGGGACATCAATTAGCTTGCTCTCTAGCAACCAAACAAATTCCTGATATACAATATGCTCTGCTACGGTATCATCTCACTGCATTTACAATTGTTAAAGTTAATCTTGAGTTCTTGTGACAAAAACAAATATTGCATCTTTGAGAGAAACTCAGTGACGGTTGAAGCTTTCAGGTTGTCAAAAACATACACCTTTGTTTACAAAGTGTGCATAAAATTTCAACAGATATCATTTCATTGTAGTCATTCCAAAATTTTGTGTAGGTCGATTCTGGGAGATTTATCTTTCTTCACCATTATTACCAGAACTCGATATTCTGTGTAATATAAGATATGATTCAAAAGGAGTCCACAGGGTAATTTGTGCACAGCAAGAGTTAACAAAGAAAATGGATACTTATTGAAATATTTCTGTTGGATAATTGATTTCTTGCAAACAAATTACCAGTTTTACATATTGATATCATATCAAACATGTAGGATAAAATGTTCAAAAAAATTATTTGATTTTAGGAATAATTCTCTTTTAATACCTTAGATCTCAAAGAGTAATTGAAGTTCAGGTTTGGGAAGGAATGCATTTTTTTGTTGAGCATATCCTTTGCCTGTTAATACGATACATATTGTATATGTCAATCTGTTTAACTATCATTCAAATTGTTTCTGTCATATGTGTTTGCCTATGCAACCCAATAATGTGTATTCAGAAATGTCTTTACGTCTGTACTGCAAAAGAAAGATGGATACCCATGTATAATACCAGCTGTCTGTGCTGTCTACAGTGATTAAAAAAATGCCTACGTGTATAGTGAAGGAAAAGGGGAGAACTCTATCTTCCACATGGGTGCTAGTGTATTTTCTGTTTTTGATTAGCCAAGCCAAGCCATCCAGTCTTTTCATGTAGCATTTGCATCAACTTCCATTTGATTTCCCATTGATAGGATTTTGATTGTTACAATCAAATCATACAGGAAGTGTTATGAATATGAGTATGTGTTTGTAGATGATCTGAAAGAAAGAAAATGTGTAATAATTATTGTAATGGATCTTACTGATTCTATGAAGTTATAATGAAATGATGAACTGTCCTTGCTTGCTTCCTTCATGGAGCTTTATTAGGACCTTGATGTGTTAAATGTATGAAGCTGCTGCTTCAAAACCAGAACAACTATATCAATTAAAAGTTTCAAAAAGTTTTAATATTTGACAACAATTTGCTTGACTGTTTTTGTTGTTGAAATGGTTCAGTAGTACTAGATTGGTTTCAATCTACCTCCATGTAATGTTATTCTGTCACATGAATATTTGACAGAGACATGAACAAATCAAAATGTGATGTGACCCCCCCCCCCCCCCACAAAACAAAAACAACAAAACAAAAAAAAGTTTACCACATTGTTAGTTTTCTGTATTCCATGTATGAGGAATTATGAAGAACTAATTGTACCTCCTGTTCTCTTCTGATTCACCATAATTATAGAGCCTGATTAGTTCTCAATATATGTGGTATAATGTCAAAATCTTAGATAAATAGATGATAATAATAGGGCATAACACATAGGCAGGCATACTTGCATATCTCTATGCCCTTCACAAAATAGAATACAGAAGTAGTGGAAATGGTGCACTGGGTTCATAATTGTGAGGTCTAACAAAGTGCTAAATAGATACGTTTTCAAATTATTTCTGAACTTTTCATATATTTCTATATTTTTAAGGTATTTCCGCAAGTTATCACATAAAACAGTGGCTGCATATGATTGGGGTCTTAATATTCATTACAAAAGAGAAATACAAGAAAACAGATTCACTTTACAAATTTCTTTAAAGTACATCGAAAATATTCCACAATTTGGATTTAACCTGTCATTCTAGAAAATTAATTGCCTACCACACTCAATTAGCTGAAGGTGTAAAATGGTCATGGTCATGGTTGTAGTGATTGTCATGTGAAAGCCGGTACTGGAAGTAGAATCAAGACTGTAGGATGTTGTTGATCTTTCCGTTAGAGAAAATGTCTGCTAAAATTGTAGATAGGATTGTGACGGTTGGTCTGATGTCGTTTTCATTCACAACCAATCGGGCCTATGTGTAAATGAACGTTTTACTGGTTTGGATGTTAAAACAAAAAAATAATCAGTGGCGGCGCTCCCAGGGGCTGCCCTTTCCCTTCTGATAAATGCCCCTGCCCCTTTAAAACCTCTGATAAATACCCTTATCCAATCTAACAGGGGCCCCTTTAATACTCTCTGACAAGTGCCCCTTTTCCTTTTTGATAAGTGCCCCCTTTCCTCCTGTAATAAATGCCCCTTCTTTCTAATAAATATCCCCTGATAAATGCCCCTATCTAAATCTGATAGTTGTCCCTTTTACTCTGACAAGTGCTCTTTTTCGCTGGTGCACCCCCACTTTGAAAGACTCCGCCACCCCCTGGAATTACTCTCCCGTTTTTACTTCATAAAGAATCTTTTTGTCTCGCCTGCGTAGCAAAAAGCGAGACATAGGCGCCGCTTTTCCGGTGACGGCGGCGGCGACGGCGACGGCGACGGCGACGGCGACGGCGACGGCGTCAACATCAAAAACTTAACCTAAGGTTAAGTTTTTGAATTTTTGGTATAATTTTTAAAGTATAAGTTCTTAGTCAATGAAACTTTGACTATAGGGTAATCAAGTATCCCCAATCATGTGAGTAGAATTTCAGATCACAAAGTCAAGGTCAAAGGTCATTTCAGGTCAACAGACTTGGACTATGTTGTAGCATCATCATCGAAAACTTAACCTAAGGTTAAGTTTTTGAATTTTTGATATAATTTTGAAAGTATAAGTTCTTAGTCAATGAAACTTAGACTATAGGGTTATCAAGTCTCCCCAATCATGTGAGTAGAATTTCATGTCACTAAGTTAAGGTCAAAGGCCATTTAAGGTCAACAAACTTAGACTTTGTTGTGGCATCAACATTAAGATTTTCAAAATGCTTCTTCTTCGTTATTTTTCAACCGATTTTGATTCTGATTGTTTCATATGATAGGGCTAGGAGGGGATTTAAAATTTCTACACAGAATCGTGAAATTCATTATCTATGCTAATTTATGCAAATTTATTCGAAATCACACAAAAGGCTTCTTCTCCTTCATTTCTCGACCGATTTTGATTTGGTTTGCTTTATATCGAAGAGCTAACTTTGGTACACTAAACTTCTACACAGAATTTTGAAATTGTTCTCCATTAATTAATTATGGTAATTTATGCAAATTTATTCCAAAAATAACAAAAATTGCTTCTTTTCCCTCATTTCTTGACCGATTTTGCCTTATCTGGTAGAGCTAAATTTGGAACAATAAACTTCTACACAGAATTGTGAGATTTTGCTCCATTGATTATTTATGGTACTTTATGCAAATGAAATGAAATTATGTCCCTTCCAGGGCATCAAATTTCTATTTTTTGACCAGTTCAAAAGTGTACCACATAAAATTTACGATATTTGTTGTTGTGAGATGCGGATGAGCGCTACGTCATTGACGTTCTGGTTTATCGTATTGAATTGCGTTATGCAGGCGAGACCGCCGAGAGCGTTTCCCTTGTTTAATGTATATGCTTCTCCTAAAATCATTTTAAAATGTCATTGCCTCCATCTTCAATGCAAAGAAGAGCTACAAGAACACAGCTTAAGTTTAACAATTTCTTGTAAGCCACACTTCTAGAAAATAAGTCACCTTGGCGCATTAAGTTTGCTTACATCATGTAGAATGCAACCTTTAAAAGATTGAATATCTTGATTTTCACTTCATGAGATTCTACTCAGATCATCTTAAAATGTCTGTTTTCGGGGTGCAGGTTGCTGATAGAACCTTCATTCTGGAAGAGGTTTTTTTTTACACGCTTTTATAGGCTTTCTAAAAAACAAAAACAGAATAAAAACAAAAGAATAAACATAAGAAATGACGAAAGAAAAGGAAAAACTCAATCATTATGTACGAGATATGATTGTTTAATCATTTAACTGTAATAATACTGTAGGCCTACACGAAAATACGAATTGCGCAGTTAATTGATGTAGAAATTAATATTTAAAATTCATCTAACACACGTACGACGAGAACAGTTTAAGAAACATCACACTGGGTTGACAATAAAGCGTTTTTTTGTCCGACAATTTGTTGGGATAATTGGTATCAGCCAACTTTAATTTAGCACATTCTGTCTTTATTATCCATAGTAACGCGGTTACTCCCTACCCGCTCGTGTCAAATTATAATATTTATGAATTTGTACCGGTTTTTTTTTCCTGTTTTTTTTCCCTCTCGTTTTTTGTCTCTTGTGCTTATTTTTTTTAATTTAATTTTTTTTTGGGGGGGGGGGGGGTGGCCAGGGGTGCTCTTGCAATCCAAGATTAAAACATACATTGTAAAAGTAAAGAAAGTTACAAATGACAACACTATGAAATTATATAATTGAATTATATCGGTGACAAACAAATGTTGAAATTAAAGCATTATCTATGATAGAATGATATTTTAAAAATTCTAAGTATCTAACTAATAAATTATATACATTATATTAGATATATCAAGTAAAAGCAGTTTCAATGTTTGAATCACCCCTCCCCCCCCCAAAAAAAAAAAGAGTCGTCAAATAATATCTCAGGAATTTTCACCCATTGATCTTGCTTCCCATCTCCCCATAAACTTTTAGAAAGCTTGATTGGTTTATTCCATTCAGGTTTTTACGCCCCATCTAGAAAATAGCATTAGCATTATCTTTGGAATCCATGATATAAAAATAGCATTTTCAAGAAATTTAAGTCATTCCCTTTTTGGTGTTTAACCGTGTATTCTTTACTTCTTTCTATAATACATTTACAGTGCAACGTAAAGTGCTTCGAAGGATTTTATCAACAACAAAGATTTTAATAGTTCTATCACATGTGCATCTGGCTTCTTTGAAAGATATAGTTTGTAATTGCGCCCCCAATCATCGATAAAAGTCCGTCAAAATACTTTGTAGAAGGCTGAAAGCACATCAAAATCTTTCTAGCGCTCGGTCGTTTTGCTTCCGCTCGTTTTGTCTTCATTACTTGACCCAAACCCACGAGGACCAGTCGATGTGTGGTATGAGGGCCAGTTGATATGTATCCTAGCAGTCCGATCCTGTTTAGAGGGTTCAGATTTTTTAATTATTCTAACGCCCCATTGTTTTTCTCACATTCATATGTATGCTGGTGTGTTGTTTATGAAATAGTTTTTCCCCATGCATAATCAATTGAAGAAGAAGAAGATCATCAGAAATAGCGCTCGAGATAGGCCTCAACGACACAACAATAGCTGATGGCACACACTGTCGAACGACAAATACGAGAAAATTTCTACCGCCCAACGATAAAGATAGATTTTCATGTATTACGTAATAAACAGGAGCGTCTTCCTGCGCTAATAATCTTTGAAGCGCACAATGTCCGTTGCACACAGAGCGTCAGTTGCTGACTTGAGTCATTCAGGTGCCCTCTAAGAAAGTGACATCGTACACAGAGTAAAAGCAAAGAGAACCGTGCAAGCTTCTCGATGAGTTATTAGCTCGTAGTATGTTGGTAATGCGAGCGAAATAAGACAATCAATACCTTTAAGATATAACATAACGAATTATAATTATGTCCATTATTGATGAATTTGTGAAAGAAAAAAAACGGAAAGTAAAATTGGATGAAACGAGTTGAGGGTGACCAGGAGAAAAGCGATGGAGAAAAATAGCTTGAGGAAATGTCAACGTGAAGTGGTCAGCATCCTACCCAACTCTAACCAATACCCGACTTTGTCCAAATCACATGAAAATCAATAAGTAAAAAGATTCACAAAAAGTTTGGCATATCATAACGAACTACGAACTACGATTAAAAGTTGCTGGAGATTATTGTGAAAGAAAGGATTAGTTGATGTTGCTATCATAATGGTTGGTGTTGATGATGATGAAGGTGATGTGCTGGTTAGAGACTCTTCCGGTTATGAATTGACGAGTGCATTTTGGTTACCGGAGAAGTGTAGTGATCGTTTGAAGAGAGAGCATGCACTGACGACTGTTGTCTCCCTTGGAAGATTTCCGGCCTGGGTGAGGTGGAGGCGGAGATCTCATTGGGGGTGAGGATCTCTGAAGTGGGATCATCGCCAAGAAATATTAGCTTTTGGTGGAGGGTCATCCATGCTTAGTAGACCAGGCTGAAGTGATGCGATTGAATCTGTAAAACAAAATGAATAACATTCATCATCATTATTAACTAATGTTCTTCTCCCTTTCACTCCTTTCTTCCGAATTCTTGTTTTCTTTTAAAACTTCAAGGATTCAAATTTCTTTTCTTTTTAAATAATTTTGTCTTTGTTTTTCCAATGCACGCCTCGGTTTTAATTGAGATATCTTGTAAGATTTCTCCTCTTGTTTGTCCTTGACTCACCACCTTTACTTGATTACATGATTAAGTTTTTCGCCATAGGGCTTCAACATGGTGACAATCATAATCTTAGAGCCCAGAGGCTAGATACGAGGACATTCAAAAATGATCTACTTTCTCACCTAGCTGGATTAAAGATGGTTGGGCTTCAGTTGATTGGTTATCCTCATATCTCATGGAACAGTTTCTGAAACTAAAATATGAACAAATCGAAGTTACACCTTAACTTAAACATTTTCTTGAAGATAACAAATGCAATTTTTTTTAAAGGCCGAGTCCGTGGTGTTCTGTGTCGGGTTCTGTGGGTGGGTGTGAGAACGACCAAATAATAATAATATCAAAAGTATAAATATTCATGATACTTTATTTGATAATCATTTAGATCATCAGAAAATGAAAGGTAGGAGTATTGGTTGGTAACTCAGAGAACAAAATACATCGGACCAGGCGCGTACGCAGGATTTTTTCAAGGGGGGGGGGTTTAACATTTATAAATCGGGCCGAAAATTTCGCAACGACTCAGCCAGCCGTTGGAAAAATCCAAAAGGGGGGGTTTAGGGAAATTTAGGGGGGGTTTACACACAAAAAAATACCAAAGGGGGGGGGGTTAACCCCCCAAACACCCCCCCCCCCCCCCCTGTGTACGCGCCTGCATCGGACTATATTAAATTAAATCCAATGTATTTGGTCATTTTGTTGTCCCAAATATTACTAAGTATTGTGGTATGATGAACATAGCCTTACATCAGAAGTATTGATATTCGGTCCGAGGGGGCAATTTCAATACAGTCCCTTCACGTCATTCTAAAGTAATGGAACTCAATTCTAAATGTACAAAACCCCTTACACACAATTTTTTCTCGAACGCTAATGTTCTTGTTGGTAATTAATATCCTACTTCGAGGATCAGTACCAGAAACTGAACAGTTTCAGATTCCGATTACGGTCCAAGCTGTAGTAGGGTTTGGAAAGTAATACTCATCAGATACTAGATGGACATGCCCATGAGCTTTCATGATTTAACATAAAATCTGTCGCACGAAGGTCAGAAGGCATGGGTTATGGCACTGATAAGTCTGTATACATGGTTTGAATTGAATTGAATTGAATTTGGATTGAGTTGAAATTATTTCCACACCCGGGGGCAGATCCAGGGGGCGTAGGGGCACACACCCCTTTTTTTTTCCTTCCGAACAAAAATAGCAGGAAAAAAGCTAAGAATATTCACCTAAATGTTTAGTTTACGCATTCAGAAATGCCTCAGAATGTACCATATTGAGCATCGGGTCAACATTTTCAGGGGACCCCACGCCTAAAGGCTTCGCGCTCGCAATTTCGTTCATTTCACGCCCCACCCCCCCCCCCCCCCCCCCCCCCCCCCCCACCCCCCCCCCCCCCCCCCCCCCCCCCCCCCCCCCCCCCCTTTGGAAAATCCTGGATCCGCCCCTGATCTGTATTCTAAAAAAATTACATGATACAAGCAAACATCGAAAGAAGAAAATATTAATGTAAATGTGGTCGGATCGTAACAAGTTTGGGGTTTTGGCGTCGCGCGGGTCCAGCCTTGAGGGGGCTCTTGTACCGTAAGGGGCGACATACATGTATACTCGGTGGATGATTAGCCCTGTGTTTCAATACTTTGTGCATTTTTCTCTCCCGAACCCCTGTTTACCAGTCATTTCATTCATAATGTAATAATGAATAATGTAATCTCTATGGATGGAATATTTTGCATAGATTGGTTGTTGATATGTCGGTCAAGCCTCTAAAGCAGTTTAGTTGTCGAGAGAATATATGTTCAAAATTTGTTCACACAATTAGAAAACAGGTCTATTGTGATCAAAAAAGGTCATCGAATAGGAGAAGATTGGGAGAGAGTCGTAAAATCCCGATCTTAATCCTTTTTTTTAAACGTTTTTTTATTGCCCATTTGATGAATGGATTATGAATTAATTACTCTTGGTACTAAAAGCTATACACGTGGAAAACCACGAAAAATGACCAATGGAGAATGGTATAGTTGAAATTATTATTGAAACACACAACATTTTATGGTTTGATTTCTAAAGAGTGAAAAGTGTATAGAAATTTCAGAATATATCAAGAATATCATTAAAAAGAAATGACATACTCCTTAAAAGCTATACCCTGCAAGTTTAGAGTGTGCCAACTTCAGTTTGATAACAATCGTTAAAATGGCGATTAGGTACGAGTCATAATCATTTCAATAAGTTAACTATATCAGAGCCATGTAACAATTATTTTTATTTAAAAGAATCGATATACAATTAATTGTAAAACTAATTGTATCTCCAATCCTCTACAATTTATTGTATCTTCGATTAATTCTAGGGAGATACGAATAATCGTAGCTTTTTTGTGTTACAGGGCCTAGAAATATTAAACCAGATATTGTCAGAAGGTCAGAGCCTCTTTATAAAAATTAGATAGTGCCGTATTGATCGCGTGTATAGCATCGCGTGTGGACATGACTGTGTCTCTTTGACGGAATCAAAAATAAAATCGTATAATAGATTATCATCCTATTTATTCACCATTGACATCTTTGACGCTCTATGCAAAAACGACGTTGGATGATTAATCAAACTTTACAAAAATAAGCTTTTTAATCTTTTTTTTTTTATCTCTCTCTCTCTCTCTCTCTCTCTTCTCCCTTTGTATCGCGTGACAGGCTATAATCGACTTCCCTTTGCATAATTATTGTTGACTTATTTTTCTTTAAGACCCTTCAAGTATGAAGCTTTTTAATTTTTCGTAAAGCAAAAATAGATTATTTCATTTATATTGTTATGATTGTTGATGATGGGAGCGGAGGAGGGGGGGGGGGGGCGCATTTTTTCATACAAAAGGCGAGCGGGGGAAGATCATGCGTGGGATAGTTGTTTTCTGATACATCTACTTTTTTATGTCTCTATATCTTTCTGACTCTCTCTCTCTCTCTCTCTCTCTCTCTCTGCCTCTCGTCTCTAAATGAATTTTCTTCTCTTTCTCCTCCTTCTTTTGGTTCTGTGTAAAAATGTCAGTTGTCAGAGGTAAAATACCCCCCCCCCCCCCACAATGCGAGTCAATAGATTGTCGTTTACAACGAATGTATTTAAATAGATCTGCCCCTCAAAATATCTTGCTAATTATGCCACCGGCATCTTTCTGTCAATTTTGTTTTCGACCTTGTTTAATCCCACACATGGGCGTGTTAAACGAAAAACATATCCTGACTTAAATCACATTTCTTGAATCCCGATTATTACTTGTAATCATCGTTCCGTAATACGTATCAGGGCCAAAGTATTCAAACAAAATGGCCGCCGTGTTGTTTTGCTTACATGGTCACATATGCTGGCTGCTAGTAAGAGGTTTCCTTCTGTCGACTTACGCGAGGTGAATTAGATTAGGATGCCATAACTGCGCTTCTTTTCTTCCCAAGACAGCCGCAATAATTTGTATCGCCAAAAAGGGAGAGAAGGGGAGTGAAGAAAACATAAGAGAGTAATCTGAAGATTACATATTATTCATGACCGAAAATACCTGCTGTTTTGAGCTCAACTCACTTTACAGGCTTCCTATATGCGTTTAAACCTTTGAGTGGCCAAAACTTCCATGATTCAATCAACAAAGACGGGTTGTTACACCATGTTAATGCGAGGTCCCTCGAAAAAAAAACTCTATCTCGGTCAGTGAACCGTTAATTTAAAAAGAAACAAAAAGTATACATTCCATAAATATTTTACCCACTATACGTTCAGTTCTGATAAGGTAACTTATATTCATTTACAGGTATGACGGCAATGTCTGGAAGATAACAAATATAATGGCCGCTGCAATATCAATTTTCCTGATGAAAATACCAGTTCTTCACACTCTTAAACCTCCTGTATCGATCAATATATTGCCGTAAAACTACTACTTAGGACTCTCCTCTGCCCCTTATTCTTTAAACATTCAAATTTTGCTTTTTGCACTTTTAAAATTTCATCAGCATCAAATCATCGTCAACATATCATAATCATCAACAACAACATTATACTAATCCATTTGTTTCTGTTTCTCCCTTTCAGTGTTCCATTATAAAAACAAAATGCATCCTTCAGTCGAAAGTAGGTCAAATCTGTCATTCTATAGTCCTTCCGCATTCCATATCTTCAAATCAGAAAATTGTTGGTAAAAGAGTATACCCGTATATCTTGCTTGCAAGCAGCGCAAAATTCGGATGGTGGAAAAGAAGGCAGTAAGGGCGGGGGAAAGGGGGCTTGTTCCTATTCTACCGTTTGTTGTTTAGTGAAGCCATGTAGATGATGACCGAGTCCCTGGATTATTCTGATTAAGAATCCTTTATCCGCGTCAAACTAATATACCCGCCAGTTTAATGGTCCGGCTTTGTTGTACTCCCTTGTAAAGATATTTCTCGTAAGAATTCATTTCGATGAAAATCCCAAAATGGATGACATTTTATCCGACCTTGCTTTTAGCAAATCCCTTTCTTCATGATGCAGTCTTGTTTATGTAATTGTTTGCTACAAACCCAGAGCTGTTTGGGCTATGTTTACACGAGCTCCTATAACCTGATTCTCATCAGGTTTTTTCCTTCTTTTTCCCTTATGCCTGTTGCTGACGCGGCGTCTACTGATAGGACTGCGTCAGCAACTTGTACTTGTGTTGCGTCAAAGGCAGTACAAGTTGCTGACGCAGTCCTATCAGTAGACGCAACACAATTACTACGTCAGAATAAGAACTGTTTAAATATTTCCCAATAGGGACTTTTAGATTGAGTGGACGAGAACGGCGCGAACGTCCACTGATCCTGCGTGTCTATGGCAAGCCGTTTCAATATTCTATTAAATTCTTGATATCAAGAATTACCATTGCTTTACAACAGAAAATCATGTATTGATATCAAGAATCTACGAAAGACCATTAGTGCCACGAAGAAAAAAAAACACACTTTCTACTAATCTGTTTAAACAGATTACGATATTTCTTCTAATCTGTTTAAACAGATTATAATCTGTTTAAACAGATTACGGTATTTCTACTAATCTGTTTAAACAGATTACGGTATTTCTACTAATCTGTTTAAACAGATTACGATATTTCTTCTAATCTGTTTAAACAGATTACGGTATTTCTACTAATCTGTTTAAACAGATTACGGTATTTCTACTAATCTGTTTAAACAGATTACAGTACTTCAACTAATCTGTTTAAACAGATTATAATCTGTTTAAACAGATTACGGTATTTCTACTAATCTGTTATAACAGATTACGATATTTCTTCTAATCTGTTTAAACAGATTATAATCTGTTATTACAGATTACCGTAGTCTGCATGTTACGTTCTATAATAGAAAATCACGTTGTTACAAATACATAACTGATGGCCGGTCAAGCGTGCAGGACAGGACATCTGGAGCAGCATTATAGCTATACCCTTTTACGTTTTCAATGTATCTCACGATCCTTTGGAACAGGACCTTCTTGTGGCAATGGAATGTGAAGGCTTGGTTCGGAATTACTTTAATTTAGGATATAATTACAACGAAATCATTGCTTCTCTTTTATTCAATCACAATGTAGCGATAAGCAAACGAACATTGAACAGAAAGTTGCGAGACCTTGGTCTTTATCGTCGTAAAAACCATACTGATGAGTTAGATGTAGCTTGCTTTATTCTACAGGAACTTCAGAGTTCAGGGTGCTTACATGGTTATCGATGGATGCACCTGAAATGCATCCAAAATGGTATCAACATTGACAAAGAAACTGTTCGGCATCTACTCGGAGTGTTAGACCCATTGGGTGGTATTCTCGAAAGCGGCCTAAGTTAAATCAGTGGCCTAAACCTGGTTTAAACCATGGACTATCTTTTTTGCTATTCTCGAAGGTGGCCTAAAGATAAGCCAGGCTTAAATACGTCATAGTTCGGCCTAACTTTAGGCCGCTCAGAGGGCAGGTTTAAATACGTCATAGTTCGGCCTAACTTCGCGTGACGTAACTTTTTAGTTAAATCGACTGTCCGCGGAGAGTGAACGGTAAGTTTTGCATTTGAATTTCTATATTTGATAACAATTTACACTCTTTTGTATGGATAAGCGCTCATGAAAGTTACACCAGCTAATAAAGTATTTTTGTTACTTTAATGTTGCTGTACTGGTGATAATCTAAAATGCTTTTAACTGAATACATTTGGGGAAACTTGGTAAATGTTCACAGTGTTCGCAGAGCAGTCCCATATGTGCAAATAATTGTCGGTTAACATTTTCATTTCCTGAGATTGAGCAATTTCTTACCGGGTAATTTTTTTCTTGGCACTATTGTACTTTTGTACGCATATAACACCGTAACACCACCTTAAAACTATCATTGCTAGACGTAGAAACTACTTGTATAGTGGATTTTTGAGACGCTGTTGCCTAAAAGTGGACTAGCATGCAGTCTCTTTCGTTCGTTAGCCTCTGATTTGGGTAGTGTCGGCTGTTGTGTTGTGGGTTGGAAAGTAATAACTATTAAGCTAAATAAATGCAAGTATAGAGACAAACAAAATGGAGCCTTCAGAAACACGTGTGGTTGCTTTGGTAGTTTAATCCAGACTCAATATCCATGTGCTTTTACATGTATAATGTAGTGAACAGAGGACCTTGCATACATTCATTGTGTGTATGCATCTAATATGAATAACAATGAACTGTGGCTTAACAGCTGCAGTGCATTTCTAAGTGGCATGTTAATTTCAATTGCATGTTAGTTTCAATGAACCTGTTTTTAAACGTAACATCCGCTCCTCTCTTTCAGGAGCCGACCCTACCCAAATCAGAGGCTAACGAACGAAGAGACAGAAATTTCGGTCTGGTATCACCTCTGCCTGAGCTGCAGCGCTAGTAGTTGTGGCTGTTGGTGCAATAATTTTTTACAGGACGATGATGATTTTCAGAACTACCCCCCCCCCCCCCAAGAAAAACAATTTTTTTAAAACAATATTACTAGACCTAGATCTAAATTTCATCAATAAGAGTCTAGTCTAGACAGGTCTAATAGAAATTGAAAGGAAATGGACAGAAGCTTCCTTTTTTTGACATACATTTGTTGATAATGTTACAATAGTTTAGTCTAATAATACTATTAGTTAGTAAACTACAAAGAAAGAGAAATTATAATATCTTATCAAATATCAACATATTTTTCATCTTGATTTTCTGCTATTTCAGGTTCTTTTCAATTGATGCATGGGGATGAAAAAAGAAGGCCTCTCCCAAGCTACGGTGTCCCGCCTTGTGAAGTCCATCTCAATAGCCATTGCCAGGAGATGGGAGCAATACATCTCAATTCCTTCAGCAAGAGAGGCAGTCCTGCAGAGTGCAGACCCAACATGAATTGTATAATAACTGCCATTTCCCTGGCGTTAATATGGTCGGTGCTATTGATTGCACCCACATAGGTGTCTCCAAGCCAGTTGGCCAAACACCAGTTATTTCCTGAACAGGAAAAATATATACTACATTTTTCTTGGAATGTCTGCTGGTGAGTAAAGCTGTAATTACGCCTAAATTTTGTAAACTAAATCATGTTTATACAATTTTTATTAAACAGATCTGCTGATTTTATGAATCTGCAGATGTGTTTACAGGTACATTATGAAGTGATTTAAAATTGTTTTGTCTGATGAATGTAGGTGCAATCTACACTCAAACTTTTATTCATTTGAAATCGGCATGAGCTAATATTTTCAGCTCGATTGCCATGGCTACCAGTCACTCCTGAAAGTGACAGCTTGGCCTAGACTTCCGGGCGGAACTATCTGAAAATAAGACACAAATAATCAACAGTTGATTAATTACTTTCAAATTTGGGTCAGAAGAAAATTCAAACCTACCACTAACAATTATGGACCATATCAGACTTAGAGACCTACAAACTGCAGTACAGTATAGTGCAGTAAATTTTCATTTTACTTTTTCCCTTTCACGAAGCTCATTTTGGGAGATAACATAAACAAAGACAATCTTTGGTCTAATGCTAGATTGAACTAAAATGGAAAAGTTGGGCTCTAACGATTAGGGCCTTGTAAAATCTCCATTCCAGGCTGCGTTTACATCTAGGTTAGGCCAACTGTCGGCTGGTTATCTAAGTAAGATGTAGACCTCTAGACTTGATTTTAGGGAAGGGACTAACTTGGCTATAGACTTTAACTACTTAGGGCTTTCTTAGGCCATGACATGGCAAGTACAACTTGGTGCAAGCATATTTATGAGATAGTGCTGCAAGAATGTGTATGTTTGTTCTTGACTTTAAAAGAGAAACCGGTAGTCATTCTGTAAATCAATGATTACTAGTAACTGAGTGGGGAGGGGTGCCTAGTCACCGCCTACATGAAAGGCGCCTTAATTTTTTTTTAAAGTTAGAATATGATTGACACTATAACGAAGACCAATTATCAATGGAGTAGATCTTTGATATTTTAATGAGGTATAAACCTTTTTATTTTTGTTTCAGGATGATGTTTTTCTTCAGTAAAATAAATGAAGTCAAATTCCCTGATAACTGAGACAAATTCAGAGAGAGGAAGGAGAACTACTGAGCTGCTGAATATCTGACAGGTAGGCTGTACGAATAAGTTGTTGTTTGTATGCCCAGGTACTTCAAGGATGGCATTTGTTCATTCACATTTTTCAATCAATACTTTCATGTAATTGATTATGCACTCCACTTTTACCACAATGTACATGCAAGACCTTTTTAATGTTTAACAGAAATAGGTTTCAATGTGCTTCCTTTCATTATTTCTCTTTTCATTCAACAGACATACTTGCAAGGACTATGAAGTTCTACTTAGCCTCTTCAATGAACCAGACTCCATCTGCTGTAACTGTGACTGCATGGGGATCAAAACCTTTGAATTATAATCCTCATAACATGAAGCTATGGTAACAAACAAGCAACCATTGATAAAAAGCCTGATATGTCCTTGTTGTGTATGTGAACCACAAAGCAACCATCACTCATAAGGATGTTTTTATGTACATCAGATGTTCATTGTTTCACTGGAAAAATTGTGATTTAGAATCATTTAAGAAATCATGTTTCATGATGTGTTTTATAATATAGTGCAAGTCATGAAACACGGCTCAAAAGTAGACTATGCTTTGTTTTAAAAAAATGGGAAAAAGTAATGAAACAAATACATAACATTTAATTCTAATAGTTTCAAGTAGCAGATTTTGAGGCTATTGGAGCTTAATATTTGACCTTCAATTTTATAATCGTATTCATTGTGAATTACAATCTTTTCTGTTTTAAGAAAAATAAATAAATTGAACATAATTGTTGATATGTTATATACAATATTCCATTCATATCTTTTGATTTTAAGTGTGCATACTGTTGGGTTCATTGAATTATACATGGAAAAGTCTTGAAATAGAACAGTGAGGGAACAGAGAGGGAGAGAGAGAGAGATAGAGTAAAAGAGAAAGGGAACCAAATGAGAAAGAACAATTTAATGGTGAGAGAAATAAACAATGATGTGAGATAGTGTGTGTGTGAGAGAGAGAGAGATGGAGATAGGGAGAAAGAGTTGGGGGGGGGGTACAGTGCCCCCTTTTTCAAATGCCCCTTTTTATATAGGAAAGTTCCCTTTTAACTTTGTAAGAAGTGCCCCTTTTTCCATAGAAAAAGTGCCCCTTCCCCTTTTCACCTCTGATAAGTGCCCCTTTAATTTTGACACGCGCCCCTTTTCCTTTGACAAGTTTCCATTTTCCTTTGCAATAAGTGCCCCTTTTTCACTTTTAAGAAGTGCCCCTTCACCTCTGATAATTGCCCTTTTTAAATTTGAGAGGTGCCCCTATTAACAACAAATGCACATTTCCTTTTTTTTAAGTGCCTCTTTTTCATTCTCATAAGTGCCCCTTTTAAAATATGTTCAATGCCCCTTTTCAGGTGTGATATGTGACCCTTTTCACCTCTGATAATTTCCCTTTTAACAATGATACAATTCCAGCAAGTGCCCTTTTTGTTGGTGCTGCCCCCCGCTTTGGAAGTCGCTCCGCCGCCCCTGGACGTCATATTGCTCAAGTTGTCAAAGTGATGCATCCTCTCCACACTGCGCGCATCTATTGTCTTAGCCCATTGTCTTAGTACATTGTGACGTCATATTGCTCAAGTTATCGAGGTGATGCATCCTCTCCACACTGCGCGCATCCATTGTCTTAGTGCATTGTGACGTCGCAGCTTCGGTACTGAGCATGTGCAGAAACCGTAACCATGGTGAATAATCCATGGACTAAGTTAGGCCAGGTTTAAACCATGGATCAGTTAGGCCACCTTTCGAGAAATGAAAATGACTTAGGTCAGCGGCCTAAGTTAAGCCTGGCCTAACTAAACCACGGTTTAACTTAGGCCAGGTTTAACTTAGGCCGCTTTCGAGAATACCACCCAATAGGTCTTGAATACCGATCACGTAGAAGGCTACGAAGGCGTTTATATCGAGGACGGGGACCAAACTTTATATGGCATCTAGACTCCTATGACAAATTAAAACCTTTTGGAATCTGCATCAATGGATGTGTAGATGGCTATTCAAGGAAGGTAGTTTGGCTAGAAGCTTACACGACAAACAATAATCCCAGAGTAATAGCTGGATACTACATGCAAACGGTTAGGAAAGAGATGGGATGTCCTCGTGTCATTCGATCAGATTTTGGAACAGAGAATAACACTGTCCGCCAAATGCAACAATTTCTGCGCAGAAATGGTGACGACCCACTTGCGTCTGAAAAGAGTTTTATGCAAGGAACGAGCCAGCATAACCAAAGAATAGAGAGTTGGTGGGGCGTCCTTAGAAAGCACTCTATACAGTTCTGGCTGAACATGTTTGGACAAGTGAAAGATCAAGGTCACTTTACTGGAGATCACCTGGACAAGTCACTGCTGCAGTTTTGTTTCATGAATCTAATTCAGGTAAATTGATATGTGTTCATGCTGTTAACCAGCTCTAGAAGTGTTGGTCGAGGTCGAGCGATCCCAATAGCTCACTTAAGCCTTTAATTTGGATGGGGGTATGTTCTGCTTTCATCCCAAAATAACAAAATAAAATAAATTTATTTTTCATGGCTCAACTTTTACCAACATTGTGCACTAAACATAAAATTTGAAAAGGGCCCCTTTTTAAACCAATCACAATCAATCTTATGTCACCGGATAGCTGGAAAATAGCGCCTTGTATCCTCTGGAAAAGACGCTATAAAATCCAGTTGTTGTTATCATTATTATTATTATTACTATTATTATTATTATTATTATTGTGATTATGATTATTATCATTATTATTATCATTACGTTGCTTAATTTAAAAACGCGAGAATTAACCCCCCCCTGCACCCTCCCCCTAGGGCGCGCGCGGTATGTAATTTTTACGCTTCGCGTGCTCATCCTTACCGCCCCCCTGAAATGAAATCCTAGCTACGCCATTGGAGGGTTTTGATATTTTCTCAGTACTTCACCATGGATAACCCACTCCATAACTGAATACTTGTCAGCTGAAATCTCTTAAAATATGTTAGCGATAAATCCTTAAAGAAATGAAAAAAGTATATTTTTATCAAATGTATAATAATAATATTTATTTTCTTCTTCTTTGTATATGGAACAGGAAGAACTGGACAAGGTTGCTAAGGAATGGAACGCTCATAGAATCAGCAAATCAAGGAACCAGTGTGGACCATTTGGTCGCCCCAACGTGATGTACAGGACACCCCAGGTGTATGGAACACAAGATTTTCTTGTGCCGTTGGAAAACGATGAGGTTGAAGTATGCGAGGAAGAATGTACTTTCAAAAGTCAGTACCCTTGTGACAGAGACGTATTTGACCTTTGCTCGATCCTGATGACTGAAGAACAACTACCTGTACCGCAGAATAGCGAAGAAGGACTGAACCTATATCATACTTTGAGAATGCACTTGCTGAGGATGATTTAATCAGAGTATTTTGCATTAATTGCATGTGTATTTTGATATTAAATGAAAAACACAAGTAGATATTTTTCTACAATGCTTGGATCAGCAACCAAGACTTATTCATACCTTTCCCCACAATGACATCTTTCCTCTCTTCAAAGAAGACTAGCAGACTGAAGCGTCTGATCCGTTTTTTTTTTATTCACATATTCACCACATTGCTTAAAATGATCTGCATATAAACACAACAAAAATGTTTTTACCCCCTAAGGAAAGTGACATAACTTTTTAACTGGGAGGTGTCAAGTAACAAAATTTGCAGGTGATATTAATCAACTATATTGTTATCGTATGTGTAAAAATCAGCATAATCCTATATTCATGAATGAACAAAGGTCAAGAAAAAAATGTCACTTTTCAAAAGTCACAAGGGTATTTTTATGAGCACCATATGTACCAAAAATTATGTAAATTATGGTTCTCGTGTACAATAAAAATAAATTTTTTGCTTTTATACCAATCTTCAGACTCCTATTCATCTGACCATTAGTTTTGCGCATGGATGGACATATTTTTCAAGAAAAACAACTCTTTTTAACGCCTTTTGGGGGTTAAGCTTGATTTTCGTGAAAATATTGGGAAGTGCATTTTTCGCCAAAAAAGGTCAATTTTGCAATCGGATCGTAAAAAGTGCCCAGATTAGTAGGATAGAGTGTGATAATGGATAACATAACAAAAAGACACTAATACACATCCATCCAAATAAGGTTTTACCCATTATTTGTTCAGTTTTTATCCTAAAAATGGATTCATATGTGATTTTAAAAAAGTGACATTTTTTGTTTCATGTGTGACCATTCAGGCGTTACAATTAAAATCATGCTCATTTTTGCACACATGCTTTTATCTGCAAATTTTGTTACTAAACACCAACCCGTTCAAAAGTTATGCTACTTTCATTTGGGGGGGGGGGGAGTAATTTCACACAATGAAAAGCAGGCAGATCTACGATATGACAGACTACGAATTTTCCGATGATGTCCTACCCGAAACTCGGGGCAAGCTGTCAAGTCCAAATTCTCACGAGACATGAGCCATGCCACGGCATTGACGGGCACGGCAAATCAAGCCGAAAAATAATGACGATGGAAAATGTATTGAATTTGAAAGTTTGCCTAATTAACTTCTCAAAACCTTAGAAATACTAGTAGGTTTGGATCACTCAAAATATTAGGATTTCTTTTGAAATAAAAATGAATTCAAGAAATTCAAGCATAAATTACTCACCGACAAACTCCTCCCTCTCGCCAGCTAAAATCATTCTGTGCGGGTGACGTCATCACAGCCACTAAAACGCGCAGCGCAGGCCAGGGAAAGTGACAAAAGTAGGATCCGTAATCTGTTTAAACAGATTAGTTGAAGTAATGTAATCTGTTTAAACAGATTAGAAGAAATATCGTAATCTGTTATAACAGATTAGTGGAAATACCGTAATCTGTTTAAACAGATTATAATCTGTTTAAACAGATTAGAAGAAATATCGTAATCTGTTATAACAGATTAGTGGAAATACCGTAATCTGTTTAAACAGATTATAATCTGTTTAAACAGATTAGAAGAAATATCGTAATCTGTTATAACAGATTAGTAGAAATACCGTAATCTGTTTAAACAGATTATAATCTGTTTAAACAGATTAGTTGAAGTACTGTAATCTGTTTAAACAGATTAGTAGAAATACCGTAATCTGTTTAAACAGATTAGTAGAAATACCGTAATCTGTTTAAACAGATTATAATCTGTTTAAACAGATTAGAAGAAATATCGTAATCTGTTTAAACAGATTAGTAGAAATACCGTAATCTGTTTAAACAGATTAGTAGAAATACCGTAATCTGTTTAAACAGATTATAATCTGTTTAAACAGATTAGAAGAAATATCGTAATCTGTTTAAACAGATTAGTAGAAAGTGTGTTTTTTTTTTCTTCGTGGCACTAATGGTCTTTCGTAAGAATCCGATTCTTGATATCAAAAAATAGGAATAAATGTTGTAAAAAAGGCTTGCCATGGACACACATGATCAGTGGACGTTCACGCCGTTCTCGTCCACTCAATCTAAACGTTTCTAATTTTGCTTGCGGAGATCAGTTTCATGTGGCCAGCCAATGAGGAGGCTGGTTGCAGAAATTGATTCTTTTAAGGTAGTGTAGTTAGGCAAGTCTAAGGTATAGCATACGCTACTGACAACACCTCGCATTTGAGTATATTTAATAACTGTATTATGTTAAAAGACCGACTAGAGCTTATATCGGCCCAAATATGAAGTGAAATTGCACATAAATATGATATCAAATTATGTTGAGAAATCTTTATTTCTTAGCGATGTATGTGACACCTTGGACTTGCTCATTTCTATACTACACAGACTGCAACATGTCAACTCAATTCGCTGCCCTTGCAATGTGAGATGTATTATTTATGCCAATAGTGAGATTGACATCGTATGGACAGCAAATCTGATTTACGTTAACATAAATATAAAACAGATCGTAGAGACTCGTTGTTTGCCCCCCCCCCCCCCCTTACGGTATCTACAATATCATATGGGTATAGAGCATTTCAACATGCAGTCCCTCAACTATGGAACAAACTTCTTATTAATATTAAAGAATGTTCTTCTCTTGATCTATTTAAGCCTCTTTTAAAGTCTTACCTTTTTCAATCGTAATTTCGTACCATTCTTTATACAATACAATGTGTTATACAGGTAGTTTCCAGTTTAGATATTTATCATGCTATTATGTTCTTATTATTTCATTTCCTCTGTACTCACTTCTCGATTTTCTTCTATTTCCATAGCGCTTAGAGACTTAATTGTAATTTGCGCTATTTAAATGCTGAGTATTATTATTATTATTATTATTATTATTATAAACCTTTGAGCGACGTCCCATTTGTCACTGGGTTCGACTTTAAATCCGCTATTTTATCAAATTGTAGTTATATTCTTTGTGTGACATATTCCATAATATTTTCATGTGGTATTCATCAGACTTTACGTTTGTCCTGTGCATTAGTAAGCCCAAATTCATACGAACATTTGAGGTCAACAGGGGGTACCAAATTAGTTAAATTCTTCAAACAGGTAAAAAAAAAATACAAAAGAAAGAAAGCAATGTAGTTCTATACCTTACTTCATTAAAAAATCTGAAAACATCTAAAAAAATTACCTCTACAGTTCCTCTTAATTTATTATTATTATTTTTATTATCATTATTATTGTTACTATTATCATTATAATCATCATCATTATTGTTATCATTATTATTATTATTATTAAAACAAAAATATGAGAAGAAAACCAGCAACAACGGAAACAAGAACATCAAGAATAATAGAACAACAACAACAAGAACAGTAAGAAAAGAAGAACAACAAGAAAAGAAGAACAACAAGAAAAGAAGAACAACAAATGGAAGAAGGACAACAACTAGAACAACTACAAGAAGGAAAAAAAAAAAATATAGAGAAGAAGAGAAGACTTCATTTAGATTAAAGATGTTCATGCGTGGGTATATAGTCGTTCATGAAGTAGCCAACTTGGCGATCATTACATAACACTGAGCCAACGGGTATTACGCTCCCGTGCGTACGTCCGTGTACTGCCCTCTATAAACCCACGCACGAGCAACTTTAAATGATCGACAAAGCCAGAAAAGGTCAAAGTTTGGCGAGATGACATTTTAATGGAAGGGGGTCACTTGTAGGTCCATGGTCATACCCTGAAAACTGCCTTCTCATGGCACCCTAATAAAAACATGAAACTATATATGAACATCCCAAAGGTGACGATCGCTTATAATATCCTTAAGAAGAAGAAAACAAATACATACAATAATGCCTAACGAGCATTATTATATGACCCACTTGTGATACGATTTTCAAATAAATCGCTTGAATTTTGCATTAAATATGAAATTGAAACAGTCATACGGACTGTTTTTCTGAATAATCATAATCCTGAAATCGAGATTGTGGTGCATTGTAAGCCTTCTAGTAAAAGTTTAGTCCAAATCGGTTTCAAATCGTATACGATCGCACGACTAGTTTGACGTCACTACGATTCGAAGCCGATTTGGTTTTGCCTCATACAAAGGAGGCTTACAATATTATTTTAAAAATTGTTTTTCATGTAACCTTACAAAACCGCAATCATTGGGGTGTTACAAGTCCCAACGTTAAATAACTGCGAATCCTTTTAAAAGTAATCTGCTGAAAGGTGATGACGTTAATCAATCTCAAGTGTTTTTAATCGAAAAATAGTAGACATATTAAAGGTAATACAAAGTTTTGGGAAATTTTGAAAATTGGGTGGATAGTGAATCTTTACAATTTTGTTATATTTGGATGCCCCTGTGGATGTATTATGAGCACTAAAAAAATTAGCCCCTGAAACACTTGTTTTCTGTGCTCCCGGTAAATTTTGATAAATTTCAAATAGCGCCTATGGCCGTACAATGGTAGCTGCGACCATGAAAATCTCAGAATATATAGTTGTGATATATAATTTCCAAACGGGAATAGCTAATCGGTCGATTTTAGTCAAGAAACATTGTTTCATAGCTAAATTAATAACTTGACCTTGAGAGGGAGCTATACAACATAAAGAGTTTTTATATTTATAATGTTGTAACTTTAGACTCGATTTCAACCGCGACAACGATCAATGAATATTGTAGGAACGCATATGCTTCCGAAATTGTTAATTTGAACCGAATTCATGACCCCCATACCAAAACTTTGTAATACCTTTAATATACTGAGAAAATAATTACTCTTTTGGACTTGCACATTCCTTTGCTAAATATTTCTTCACTGGTATTCCAAGTGTTAAATTTACATTAATTTTATGTTGTTTTTCACAACTTTTATTCTTGTATGATTTCAGTGTGACAACTAGGATAGATGTAAACATAATGTTATTCCGACATTTACTTTGAGAATATTTTCATGTGTTTTTCAACGAATCAGTAGATGGTAAATTATAAATTTAAAGGTATACAGATCTTACGTTTCCAAAAAGTGGCTGAAAGTTGAGCGATTAAAAAATATGTTTCTGTCCCACTGGTCAAGCGAGTTCAGCGATGTCGAGGTTCGGTCG